TGACCTTTTTTGGGTGCAGTCCTGTCACTCGAGTTGAACCTTGGTGTGAAAGTAACGTTAGTTGTCGCCTGCTGGCGTGGTGACCAGGTGATTTTGGCACCCAGGAGCACGTGACCGCTTCTTCAACCATGTTCGATTGGGAATAAAGGAGGAACGCTGCATCGCAGCCTTTTCGGACCAAAACCAGTCGACTCAGCGTCCAAAAGACTACAACATATGGGCCAATCGCGGTCATCCGTGCTTTTATAAGAACGAAATGGCGCTTTTAGTGACATTTTGCATACAAATCCCCATCTAGTAGGGCGCAGTCACCCAGTTTCGGTGGAAGTGCGCGAGTTCGATTGGGATTCAAGTAGGAAGGGAGCGTCTCAGCTTTCTCGGACCAAGACCATTCGACTCAGCACCCCGAAGACTACAACTGGCGAAATTTTAATTTTTGCCTTAACTTCCACTTTTTTAAGTACTAGCTCAGCTAGTACATGTACACCATTTTAACAGAGAAGTGTTCCCGAGTCATCGAAGGTGATTCCCCACGCGCGACGCAGCTCACCAGATCAAGGTGTACGTGTGGGTCCTCTGCACTCAGTACGAGTAGATCTACAAGTCGTAGAGTCAAGTCGAGCGAGCTGCAACTCCCGGTACGCGGTGCCGATAACAGAGAAGTGTTACCGAGTCATCGAAGGTGATTCCCCACGACGCAGCTCACCAGATCAAGGTGTGGGTTCTCTGCACTCAGTAGAGTCAAGTCGAGCGAGCTGCAACTCCCGGTGCCAAAAGGCGGGCTAACGCCCCTACATGGCTACTTCCCCTTGTCTAACCCCCAACACGAAATGATAGTAGCCGACTGGCCGAAATTAAAAAAAAAAAAAAAAGGTGGTAGCGACAGTAGCGCTAGCGTAGTGTTGAGAATTTCTTTCCCTCTTCACGATCACGCCTGCTATGTTCTTGCGCTACAGTCGCTATCACCTTCGATGACTCGGTAACACTGCCCTGTTATCGCCTCTACTCTCGCAAACAACTCAATACCACTGTCCCAATGCCACGTCTACACATCACACATTTGCACATTGACTAACTTCCACACTTTCATTTCTCTCGGGTGTTTTTCTTTTCCTTTTTTTCGCAACCATCACATGTAGCAGAGCTCAAAAGAGACAGAAGCGGAAAGATTAGCATGTGCTGCCTTGTACGCGAACTGTTCTATTATTGTTATTATTATTATTGCCTGAAAAGAGAAAAAATCGCCAGACCCACCAGGACTCGAACCTGGGACCCTGCTTGTCATGAGCAATGCTCTAACCACTGAGCTATGGGATCAGGCTGAACCTAGAAGGCGCCGACAAGTTTTTCACTCCAAAGGCAGCTCACAACAAGTGCCACACATACTGATGGCACTTGGGTCTTTCTCCCTCCCCCAGGGGACCAACCACGGTCAGTTTCTGGACCCTACCAGAAGTGAAAGAAAAGTGATTCATTTTTGAACGGATTGGGAGAACTTCAAATACAAAGGATCGGGGGGGGGGGGGGGTGAACTGCCTGAAAAGAGAAAAAATCGCCAGACCCACCAGGACTCGAACCTGGGACCCTGCTTGTCATGAGCAATGCTCTAACCACTGATCTATGGGATCAGGCTGAACCTAGAAGGCGCCGACAAGTTTTTCACTCCAAAGGCAGCTCACAACACGTGCCACACATACTGATGGCACTTGGGTCTTTCTCCCTCCCCCAGGGGACCAACCACGGTCAGTTTATTGTATTCGAAGTTCTCCCAATCCGTTCAAAAATTAATCACTTTTCTTTCACTTCTGGTAGGGTCCAGAAACTGACTGGTAGGGTCCCTGAAATGAAATCTTCACAACTAATTGTTACTTGTACAGTTGTAGCGAAAATTACACTGATTCCGATGGTGAAGGTCAGGTTGATCGGAGCAGCCGTCCCCGAGTTATACCAGCTTGAAGTTTGCAATGAATTAATTATTTGGTACATATGTAACAGCATGATGACGTCATTAACTTGTCCAAAACCAGGCCGGATTTATGACGTCAGAGAGATAGACTTTGTATGGGAGTAGAAGGGGAAAAACCAATAATTCTTTCTTGTTTCTCTGCAACAATGATACTAGAATTTTTTCCAACCGGGATACCGGAAGGGTGCCACACGTCCCCTCGTACCGAAGGTTGAAAAAGATCCGACTTCTTTGGGACAATGGATAGCCTAAATACTGAACTGAGTTTCCCCATCTACAGTAGAGTCGCGCGCCCAAGAACGTTGTTTCCAAGAGGTTAGCCTGGTCCCATACAAACATCAAAGTCACTCCAGTCACTGGCACTTGGCCACAGTGTAAGTACAATGTAGGTGCAGTGCATCGTTTCCCCTACTTTAGGCATTGGCGGATAATGCTCGAAAAGGTGGCAGATTCTGCTCGAAAAGCAGTGAAATTGGCAGAACCATACAAATCTTATGGTGGGCAATTCCTCGAATTCTGCTCCATTTCTTTATCCACATACCAAACTTACCAGAAAAAGTACCGAATTCTGCCAATTTTTCTGCCAGCATTATCCGCAAAGGCCTACCATATACCACTCATATCGTACTCGAGGAGGTGCACATTGAGTCTATGGACATGCCCCCCCCCCCCACACACACACTTGCACCCCTGAATTCCTGGGCAAAGCAATAGAATAGTTCAGTATTTATTGCAAATCACTCTGAAAGAATACGTAAAGTCGTAAATGGCTTTGAAGATGATTGGGATCATATGCAAGCGCACACCACAACCCGGCCCGCCTTACGAACGAGTTGAATGCGACGCTAGATTAGAAATTCAGTGTGAAGAACAGCTTGGTGCCTGCATTCGGCTGCGAAGGGCATCCACCTGTGGCGATAGGATGCTCAGGTCCGGTGCCCCTGAAGCACGGGACGGCCCATTGCAGCGGGCGAAAGCGAAATCTTGCACCGCAGCATTAGTCACTTTTAGTGATCACCACGGAATCAGGAGAGTGCCTGCAGGTCAGTCTTTTCCACAACCGGACTTGCAAGGGTCTTCAGGAATATACCGGTACAGTAGTCTGTAGAGTCGCGCGCTGAAGATTGCACATGTCCAGCCTGAAATACCAAGAGTACATACCCCCCCCCAGAGTGTGCAACTCTAGATCTACATGTACTAGTATATTATGGGTGCTGTCCCGACAGAATTTCAAGTTGACGTCATTTTTATGATGCAGTGCGCATTGCATACGGATTGTCAGACGTATCCGGAACCTGTGGTGGACCAAAGCCCATCTGATCCTGTGCAAATTATTGCAGGGTATGTCACTATGTGGGAGTTGCACACTCTTGGGGGGTTATGTACTCTTGGAAATACTAACTGAACGCCCCGGCCTTTTAAAGTTAAGAACAGCGGTGTTGGTTCCCTCTGTAAGAATATTCTCTGCCAACCATCCATGAGGCAGAGAAAACCAGGGCTGATGCTGGGCCACCTGGGCGTAACGGTACATGAACCGCAGTCGACTGATCATGTGACATGCTCTCCATATGAACAGTACTGTCTTTTCTTCATTCTTTCATGGTACACTGGGTATGGGTCTGAACAAGAGGACATAAGCCCCAAGGAGTGTGCAACTGGGGGGGGGGGGGGGGGGGGGGGGGGTGTGGTGGTGTTGCTATGTACTCTTGGCCTGAAGCTGACTGACGGCTTTTTTTACTATTATTCACAAACCCAACTTGTAAAATAAATAATTATGTGGACAAAAACAAACAGCTATAGCTACTGAGCAGGGGCTTCTTGGCGCGACAGCAGCTGCAGGTGTGCCTTGGGTGGAGTCACCCGGCCTAGGATATTTATTTAAAAGAAAAAAAGCATCCTGCTGGCTCGTCCAGAAGCTGTCAGCTCGGAGTACCGGTCCCTTGCTCTACGACTCCCTGCCTGACAGTCCTGATAAAGCTTGTTGTTGTTGTTTGGCTTATACATTTATAATTATAATAATATAAGCTTGCGTGAAAAAGGATCGAGCATGAGGATTTTGGTATGTCACTGGTGATCGGAGTTAGTAAGATAGAGTGACATGCTCTCCCAAACACTGTGCCTTACTCATATAAAGCCAAGTAAAAAAAAGATTTTTGATAATCAGAATTTTCCGAAGAAGTGTTTCTGGCGCATATTGCACATGTTCAGGTTACAAAAATAATCCATGGATAAAAATGTGTGGATTGCACAGGTTGGCAGTGACAAATAAGCACTTGTGCATTCGGAAAAAAAGTTCAACCCCCCAAATTCGAAGCATTTTTGCCATAGAAACTCAAGCTGAGGGTGGCCGGTAGAGAGACGTGCCCGTATCTGAGGCGTTTGAGTGTACTACCATTGTTGGTTGTGACTGCTACCAGTCTGCCTGGAACACTTTGAACATGTGCAGATGACTCTGTGATACAATTTCCTGCTGCCATGCGGCGGGCACGCACACACACACACACCGTTGACGCCCATCGCCGGAGGCGATGATACGGCAGAAGCCATAGCAACTTGTGCTGGGATTGCACCATTTAACAGCTTGCAAGGCTGAAGAATTGACCGTCACTATTCAGCCTGTCACACACGCACACACACACACAAGTACACTGGAATCACACTGCACTGTGTGATGTCGCTACGGTAAAAGCACGTTGAAGCTGTACATGAGAGCTTGCGTACGCGCGAACTGCTAAAAAGGTTCGCGTTTCGCTAAACACACGAGTTTTCTACCATTGATCGGGAAAATAAAAAATAAAATACATCCCAGGACGGACTGAAAATCGGGGCGGGCGCTGACGATCAACAATCAATTATTTTTACTTGGCCTAACAGAGTTCAAAGGAATCCCAGGAAAGGAGCCCACAGTCGGCAGACATGCTCTCCCAAACACTGTGCCTTACTCAGCAATCCAAGGAAAGGCGCCCGCAGAAGCCATGAACCATCTGAACAACACACCCACATGTCTCGCACAGTGAAGCCCGACACGGAGATGTTCAGGAAACGGTGACAAACTTCTTTATTTACTCAAAAATAAGAAAATCAGGGAACCAAAACGAGCAGTGCAAGAACAATGCATGGCAGTGACATAGCATGGATGCACACACAGGCAAACATACAGAGCAGAGGCGCTCACACTACAGGACACCACACCACGGTGAGCCACTGGCAAACACAAAACAACAGGGTCGAAACAAACGGATTGCTGCAGCGCCAGCCAGAGCCACGACCGGAGCCCACCCGACGGTGCTGTCGTCAGTGGAAACAAGTGAACTCCAGCCCGGATGGTGGCAGTTCGGGTCAAGCAAACAGACACGCAGAAAGACAAATGAAAGCAAGTGCAGTAACGCGCCGCAATGATAAAGATACAATGGAAAACAACTGCTGACTCAAGGAGCGAAGATAATGGAGCTAGAGAACAGGAAGATTGGGTTCGTTGGGAAGAAAACGTTTGGAAGATGAGCACCCCGAGTGGTTGGAAGGCTGGGCAAAGGAAGCGCCCGGGTGCAAGATATACGCCGTCGGATGACGCGGCGAAAAGAAATCTTTTTTGGTAATGTTGGTATTTGAGACTGACTGTGTGTGCAAGAGAGTATAAGCGTCGCACAATCCACTGACGTCTTTGGTAATGAGCGAGCAGTTACTGATACTAGTATGTTTGGGCAGTACCAACGAGAGTAGAGCCGGCGATGGTTTACAACAAATATAGGCTGCAGAGCTAACCAGTTGGGCGCTGAGTTATGTCCTAGTGAGAAACGAAAACACTTAGAGAGAGAGAGTACCTGGCAAAAGCGTTATCAAGAAGAAGACAGTTAAATAAACGCACCAGCGGTTCAGCACCAGTACTTGAATTCCTGTGAGGTCTGCGGGGACTCTGATGTCCGTGCCGACACTGCCTAGGCACTGGGGAACATGCGTTCGACATGCGCCGGTTGCAGTTCCGGCAGAGTTGCCACCGACTGGAGCTTGGAGTTGCTGTACTTTGAACGAACAGCCTGCAGCAACACCGAAAGAAACGACAGAAAACGAAAACAAGACAAAACCGGTCAGCTACCATTCAGCACACCAAGAAGGTAACCAGAGTCTTGAGAGGCTGAAGCGAATGAGAAGTTAAGAGAAGGGCATGAATATACCGTCACAACCAGGTCACACTGATCAACACTGAACCTTGAATACAGTTTCTGGATGGACCTAATACCCTCCCAGGGGCGGCATAAGGTACTGACTGAACTGAGCCATACTGGCTGGGGATCTATTGCCGGCACAAAGCAGTCTCTCCAGGAAGCAGAGTCTTGTCTAGTTGAATACTATTTCAAACACCTTGCAGGTCAGATAATGCACACCTTCTGAGCCATGCTGGTGGACTCTGAAGAAGGTTCACTTTGGTGTGAATGCCTGTTCCGTTGGACAAGACTGATTGCGCTTCAATGTAGCCGCTTTGCAGTCTGTGATCTGCTGATTGTCCTGGACCAAGCCCTGTAGAATATACAGGTGAGTGAGCGGATTTCCCATGGCCGCTAAGTAAACAGGGCGAGTTAGTGCAAGCGCAGCGCTGCGCCGAGAGCCCGCAACGTTGCCAAAGTATCTCGACTGATGTAATCGTATAACCTCTACAGAGAGTACGAAATCTCGCAGCGAACTAGACAGGACCAATACAAAGACACCTACCACAAGCTTTCTCTCGGTGGAGGTCCTCTTCAGGACCTGCGCAATGCGGCTAGTGCACTTGGAGAGCTGTGCCTCCGTGTACCCACTGTAGTATTCCAGCGTGGGAGTCTGCACCACAGCAAAACACACGCACGCACACACACACGCACACACACACGCACACACACACACACACATCACAGGCGAGTACAGTCAGAACACGGTATAAGGGGGTCGTCCATAAATATCGAACTTTTTCACAAAACGAAATAATTTCGTTAAGGGGTAGGAGGGGGTTGACCAATTTCGTTTCAGAAAACATTGATTCATGTACATGGCCGTTGTATATGCATGTATGTCAACATTTTTTTACGTTCTGAGAGGGAGGGGTGGGGTCTAAACTAAAATAATTCGTTTGGTGAAAAAAGTTCGATATTTACGATATTTAACCCTTTCACTGCCAGCTGACCACTCAAGGTGACAAGGCGCTCCCTGCCAGGCTGTCAGCTGAGCTGTACACCCCCTCCCTGCCAGGCACTTTTTACCTCCAGCTCGAAAAATCGAAAGGCCTACTTTTCCTGGATTTTTTGGTACTTTCTGTACGGAATATCGCTTTCCAAAGTATACATCGTAGGTAGACAACTCATAAAGGAAGCCATTGCCGTCGAAAAAAATCGCAAAATCCGAAGTACAAACGTGCTGCGCGATCTAGCGCCAGCCGCTGTACAAAAATGCGTGTCATGTCATGCGAAAGTGCGCCGCATGCGCTACATACACTATGTACACGATCGGCCCGGACACTCGCGAAGTAAAGTTAGTTGTTGTTTTGGAGAGAGAAGCAGATCCTTTTTTTCGTTCGCTGGGATTGAAAGATATGCCAGTGGACAGGAGAGCTACAACACTGGAAGCAGAGGAGATGGCTTGCGGAATCTTCTCTATCTTCGTGGCAACAGGACTTCAGTTGCGAGAGACTTTCGTCCTGTCGTTGCGGACGAAATTCTTGTTGCTGCCACCAGAAAACTCGGAGAACGAAACGTTCGTAAGTCGTTTGGTGAAGCGGATCGTGTCGGTGAACGGCTGCGGAATGTTCTGCCGCCATGGTGGTCGTTTGTTCTCCCCATTAGCAGCAGTCCAAATACTTTTCAACTTCGGAGAGTGAAGCGCTTCCCTGTTCCGTTGACAAGCGTTCGCGAGTGTAATTCACTTTCGCATCAGCTTGCAGTAGATCGTCAGGTTTTGAGCCAGAGGTAGGTGTCGTTGTAGAAAGAATATAATTATGTTGTAGCTGACATACCTGTAGTGTCTCTTGACCGTGCTGGTCGCCATTGCAACGTGGTAGTTCTTAGAAAATTTTAGTTCTGGACCCGGTGACCGCCGCCAGCGCTGTTTCCGTCAAGTTTGCAGTGAATGCGTCCGCGAGGAATTTATCGTCTGGTTGTCTCTACCCGTGACTCCAACCGCCTATCGCAACGGATAGCCGCCTGGAGTCTTGGGTAATAGCTAGGCATCAAGTCTGAACCAAATTCCATGCTCCGTGCAATGAAAGTTGACGGGAAAGAGGAAAATACTCGCACCGACTCAGCGAGGTGGAAGTGCGTGAGAACCGGTTTCTTCCTCGCCGATCGGCTAAAAATCGGATGCGCATTTTCAATGACGCTGGTTCGATTTTTTTCAAATGGCAACCCATACTTCTGGAAGCGTATTTCGATGGGTATGGACATCTTCCAGGGCCCAGTGGCCGTCTACCACGGCAAAACATCTCCAATATTCGAAAATAGAGGCACGAACTGGGTGAGGTCTGCCTGTCGACGGAAGTCGACAACAGCACTGGGGACTGCATGTTTACTCGTCGACGCAAGTCGACAATGGCACTCGGAGTGCATGAATGCGCTGTCGACTGCAGTCGACAGCGGCAGTGAAAGGGTTAAGGCACTGGTCATATTCAGCTGAACACCCACACAGTATGATACCACAGAGTACAGAACTCTGCAAGAGTGTGCAACTCTCACAGACCCGGCTGTCCCAACAGAATTTCAAGTTGACTATTATTTACGATCCAATGCTCCCTGCACCAGTGATTTACGACATTTTAAGGGGCCTGGCTAAGCTCTACGGCGTGTCAACACATCACACGTGCTTCCAAATGGGGCCTTGTCCGCCACCGGTTATCGATATGTCTGGTAATACGTGCACAGTGCTAGTGTGCATCGCATCATAAAAAAAGACGTCAACTGGAAATAATAAATGATACTTTGTCGGTACAGCACCCCTTACTGGAGTTGCACACTCTTCGGGAGTTATGTACTCTTGATGATACAAGTGGAATCCTGAGAAAAAAACCGCGGAGAAGAATTCCGAACATGTACCCATTGTCGTAAAGCGAATCTTGTTAGCAACAGGTCGCGACAAGCAAGCTACCACAACACCTAGTTAGTCAAAGTCTGAATGTCAACAAGCCCATTGCGCAGGTTTAAGAGAGCATGTCTGAGAATACCAAAGTATGTGTGCAAGTGGATCTCTCCGATTTCGCTCAAAATTTGCAGGTAGGTTGCCTTTGGGGTGTGGATCGACTGTGCAAAGCCCTTGAAAAAGTTTCTGAAGGGAACCTTGAAATTTGCATACCCCTCAAAAATGGCCGAAATATCACATTATTTATGGGTCTAGAAACGAGTCACGCCACAGCGTATACGAACAAGCTATGAACAAAACTCCATCAAGCCAACATTGCCTCACCTTAGAAGAGTTCCTGGAGCAGTACCGCTTAGCCACGCCAGCATCCCAGAAGACGAGGTCCATCACCCCCTGACGCCACAAATGATCGTCTTGAAAATAGCCAATTTACAAGCGCTGGCAAAACAGCCAGCTACGTCCTCAATTGGCCAGAACTATACACCGGCAGATAGTAGAACACCTCTTCTAGCGCTGAGGACATGTCCCCCATCTTCCTTTTGGGGTTTTCTTGAAATAAACTTTTTTGAATTTTTCCACTCGACCATGCTGAAATACGGCCAAAGTCATACCTGCGCAGGAAAGCTCGCCCCGTCGCGACGTCTCCTCAGCAATTTCTACTCCAACACTACTCCCAAGGCCGCAGAACAAAGTATAGTGTTGACTCTGACAAGGAAAAGCAGCGGTGATCACTTGTCACTCCAAACGACAAGCTTCTCCTTGCGCCACCAATAATTTTTGTGCGACTGTTGATGCAAAAGTGACTGAAGGCCTGATAGCTGAGCGCAGTTTTTGAATTTTATTGCAAGATGCACGGTGAGATCGCGTGCTCTGTGACGTAGGATGACGCTTCCTGCGTCACGATACTCGTACGCGCCCAACGATCGTGAAAGTGCCTGGAACGCTACTCGGAACAGACCATGATGGCAGAGGTAAGATGAGCTTCATTTCCTGCTTGAACTGCTGAGTACCCCAACAAACTGTCCTAGGAGTGTTGCAATGGCAGCAAGCCGTTGAAATATGCCCCGTACAGCATGGAGAGTTATTCGTCTTTCACACATACCTCCTGCAATCCCGAACATAGTCCAACAGTAAAAGTCCCTTGTTTTCATGTCGATGCTCGACAAAAGCGGCTAGCTCGGTCCCTGTGTTGACTGGCACGCGAGTAGCACTGACTGCACGCACTTGTCGCGTGAACTGCATGAGAGATTTCTTACGTCATAAAGAATGTGATTTCATCATCATTTCACTGGTCTTCGACCTACATGGTCAGGGAAAGTCCCGGTTCGTAGGCCTACAACACTCCCAGCGTGTTCTTGAGCGCAGTAACAACACAAGTGGGATCACTTCCAGACCACCGGGCGTTCAAGGCGAGTAACAAGCGCACTTGACGAAGGTGACTCTGAAATCTCGTGAGCCGTGCAACACAAGTGGGATCACTTCCAGACCACCGGGCGTTCAAGGCGAGTAACAAGCGCACTTGACGAAGGTGACTCTGAAATCTCGTGAGCCGTGGGCCACGCGACTTGGCATTCTTGCGTCACAAGGCACGTGATTTCACCGTGCATCTTGCAATAAAATTCAAAATCTGCGCTCAGGCCTTCAGTCACTTTTGCATCAACAGTCGCACAAAAAATTATTGGTGGCGCAAGGAGAAGCTTGTCGTTTGGAGTGACAAGTGATCACCGCTGCTTTTCCTTGTCAGAGTCAAAACTACACTTTGTTCTGCGGCCTTGGGAGTAGTGTTGGAGTAGAAATTGCTGAGGAGACGTCGCGACGGGGCGAGCTTTCCTGCGCAGGTATGACTTTGGCCGTATTTCAGCATGGTCGAGTGGAAAAATTCAAAAAAGTTTATTTCAAGAAAACCCCAAAAGGAAGATGGGGGACATGTCCTCAGCGCTAGAAGAGGTGTTCTACTATCTGCCGGTGTATAGTTCTGGCCAATTGAGGACGTAGCTGGCTGTTTTGCCAGCGCTTGTAAATCGGCTATTTTCAAGACGATCATTTGTGGCGTCAGGGGGTGATGGACCTCGTCTTCTGGGATGCTGGCGTGGCTAAGCGGTACTGCTCCAGGAACTCTTCTAAGGTGAGGCAATGTTGGCTTGATGGAGTTTTGTTCATAGCTTGTTCGTATACGCTGTGGCGTGACTCGTTTCTAGACCCATAAATAATGTGATATTTCGGCCATTTTTGAGGGGTATGCAAATTTCAAGGTTCCCTTCAGAAACTTTTTCAAGGGCTTTGCACAGTCGATCCACACCCCAAAGGCAACCTACCTGCAAATTTTGAGCGAAATCGGAGAGATCCACTTGCACACATACTTTGGTATTCTCAGACATGCTCTCTTAATAACAATGAAACCTACCCATGTGCCTTTGTTGAGCAACTTGAAGGTGAGATTGAGAGCGGATGCTGCTATCGTTGATGGCAGCTCACAGATCATGTCACCTTCTGGCAGCGTCAGCTCCATCAAGTACTTGGCAATAACATGCATGAGCGCGTCGGCCTGGGGTAGACACATAACACAGATAGACGATCAATTTCAACACAGGCCCTCAAACAGGGTTGACCGATTTCGAAAGCCGCCGCTCGAGGAAAGCTGTGTCCAGAAAACAATCAAAATAGGCAAGGGCAGTGTTGCCACATCATTATAGCCAAGTATCAGTAGACTGAAAAAAATAAAATGGACCCCCCCCCCTCATAGTAACCCTAATAATATTATACCGTAGAATCCAGCGAATAAACCCACCCGCGCATAAGCATAGGCCAAGTTCGAACATCGCCAAGCTTCGTTGTACAAACCCACCAGCGGGATTCTACAGTGCACACGACTCAGGCTGAGTTTGCCGATTTCCCCCAGACAGCTGTATTGTAGGAGAGAGCTATGGAAACACTCGTAATGAGCAGTAAAAGCCAAAATTCTGGACCATGACTTCTAAACCAAGCACAAAGGTCAGATTTGGACACTTTCATGGCTGTTGTCGGCAGGTCGTGACAGGCCTCAAAAATCGACAGGCTACTGACATGTCGGCAGGTGTGGCAACACAGCAAGGGAGAGGACAAAAGCTGCAAGGCATGCGATGACAGAATAAAGAAAAGCAGAGACTCCCCCCCCCCCCCCACCACACACAAACTTCATCTCAACTCCACTATTTTGGCAGTTTCGTAACAACATCTAAGAGGGCACCACCAGTGTCAGCTAGCACCTCTGAGAGCATCAAACAGCCGTCAAAAAATCCACAGAAATTGATACTAGGGGGACAGTCACCAACACACGCAGCAGTAGGAACTTACATGTCCAGCCTTGGAATTTCTTCTGAGGAACTGCAAGCAGAAAGGCTTTCCGAGCTCAAACTCCAGAGTTGCCAAGATCCTGACCTCCATGGCGCGGATTTGCGACGCTGTGTAGGTGTTGTCCGTGATGAAGACAAAGTCCTCAATCTCCGGCGCGTAGATCTCCTCGTACTTGGAGGCCAGAAGCATGGCGGTGACACCAACCAGCTGCAGTTGATTGCGAGGTGGCATGTTCAACTAGGGATACGACGGAATAAGAAACAAACAAAACAGCATTACATTACAAGACTCAAAGGAAGTCATGTAGCTATGACAACTATGTACACAGGGGACCTAGGTCGCAGCCATTTTTCATCAGGCGTGGTGCCACAACCAATGGATGCGAGTTGCAAATCTTGCTGTTACTTTATGGTTGCCATGGAAAGCCGCAGAGCAGTGTGAGAGCACGTGCTGGTCACAGACCTTGTAATGTATTTTGTATTTATGGATTTTCCACAGGGAGGGAGTCTCCGTGTGTAAAGCCCGGCCAAGTACACGAGGCAAAGCTTTCCAAAAGACTTGCAGCGCGTGCGTCGTAGAAAAGATTACGTCAACAAATTCCGCCACAGGCGAACCCATCCGCGAGTTGCACACTCTTGTCTATCTACTCTTGGTTATACGGACCTTTCTTTTTCATCTGCAAGGCGACACATACTCCCTGCGAATCAAACTCCAAATAAGCAACGGAACCCGTACATGAGAGATGATACGACCCACTACAAAGCGCAAATACCCCATTATCTGCATCCAGCACACTCTGGCATGGCTAGTTGTCAGGAAGAAGGCAACATAACACCCCACAAAGCCACTGGCGAGTAGTGGTCTTTGGTCGTTTCCGCATAAGTGGTCCCTTTTCTGCTGGATTAGGGAGGGCGCTGGAATATAAAATCTGATTTACTGCTGCAGTGTGCATAAAGAGGACTTTTTGGTTACTGAAAATGGTGCTGGTTTATAAAGTGCCGGATTAAAGAGTGACCACTGTACTAGTAAGTGACATGAACTGATCAAAAAGTAATGCTAGGAAAGACCTCGTCGGGCTTGTTTCACAATAGGGAGGTTTAGTTCCCACGTAATGGAAACGCGTACGTGGGTGATCCACGTAAAGTGGATGAAGGGCACCCGCTTTGCAATGTTGTGTTTAGTCACACGGAACAAACAAAAGCATGAAGCGAACGGCCCAAACCTGGTCAAAGACGAAGCTACCCGGGCCTAAGAAGCTCATCCAATATTTTGATTTCGTGCTTCTTCAGCTGAGCACCCTCACAGCTCGCACAATGCGCTCCATTCTGATGTTCACCCACGTTCTGGCGGAACGTGGGTGAGCCTCCATACATGGTATGTCGTGAATCAGAAAACGTCTGTACGTGGGTCACTGAGTATCACGTGGTACACACACGTGAAATACCCACGGATTACGTGGGACTAAACCTCCCTAATGAGACCATCCACACAACTTACAGAAAGGAATCGATCCAGTATAGCCACAGCTACGTACAGTGTCTCTTGAAGCAACTGGAAGCGACTGTGAACCTGGAAACAGGAAAGCAAACACACGCGTATTGAATTTCATTCAAAAATGCAAGAGAAATTACGTAGAGCGGCTCAGCCTGATAGGATGCCCCCACCCCCAACCGAACTTGAGGCATACTCTAATTTCAAATTTTCGGTGCTCAATATTTTTGGCATGAGGGCAAAAGGCCAGGTTAGATGCACAGAAGTTTTACGTACAGAAAAGCAGTTCCCTATTGGTTTATGTGGTTTAGTGTTTGTTCTGAAAATAAAAGTACACCGAAAATTTGTGAAATTACACGTGCTTCATCGCACACACCTAGACATACCGGTATACTACAGACTAACAGTGTTCTGTTTTGCTCATGGGCAAAACCTACCGACGTGGGCTTCCCACGTGCGGAGAACAAGAGAACAAAAGAGCAAGAGCGAGAAAGAAGCATGCAAAGATTGCTGTTGAAGTATGTGGAGTCGTCCAAAGGCCAAAGTCCTGGGATTATAAAATGCTGCCTGGACATGCAACGCACATCCACACAGCAACACGCACAGCTCTCTCTCTCTCTCTCACACACAGCTCACCTGAATGAGCCAATCCACAAGGATAGCTCTCATTTCGGTGGTAACGTCGCGTTGACCATGGAAATAATTCCTCTGCAGCGAGTATTTGCTCTGCACAGTAACGACAGCAGCAAAAAGAACCGGTCACTAGAAACAATTGCAGACACACCTCACTCACAAAATAACTACAAACATAAGACATCTGGCAAGGGTGCAACTAGAACTCCCATGATTGTTACAAAATCGCCAACAGAATCCCATATATTGCAGGCCGTACACGAGCATCGCACAGACACACATATACGCGGGCAGTGATACAGCCAAGAGCAAGCTGGTTCCTAGACAGAGCGGTGCGCTTACCTCTAACCGGCGCATGTAGTGATATATTTCCTGGACATACTCGGAGCACAGCTGAGGGTTGTCTGCATCTCCCGCGTCCACATCCTCGATGTGCATCATCTGGGAGAAGGCAACTGCCACCTGGTCAGCAGCAGAGTCAACATGCTCGCGAGTGGCGGTGGTCGTGGTGGATAGCTGCTGCGTGTCAGCAGTAGTCGACGCGGTGGTGGCTGTCGGCACGACATCAGCCTCTTTAGCTCGGGACCGTGTAGTCTAGACGCGGATAACAGACAAGAAAACAACACACACACACATTAGTCTACTTTGTTTGCATGCACGCACCATTGATCTCAACCACAGATGTGATGGGTGTATCATAGCAAGTCGCGGTGGTGCAGGTCACTGAGCTTGTCCTGATTTCGGTTTTTTGATACAGATAGCCTGGTGACTTTACTTGTCGGTGGATGTACACAGTCACACAAAACACCGAAATCCTGAAACTGGACGTCTAAAATCAAGCACAAACTTGGCTGATTTCCAGGCTATGAAACATGAAAATTTGAGCTGTACGCAAGTCTCGGCTTGGCTGACCTCATCAGGGTGACGTAGTGCACGAACTGCGCTGTTTCAGATCTGCTATGCACAGTTGCACACTCTGGTTTATGTACCCCACCAAGAGTGTGCACCTACATGTACGTGCATAACTTCTGTACAGTGCGGCGACGGCAGAACTTCACATCGCGTGACATGGTTCAAAAGATTACGCTGGCAAGCAGTGCAAAGTGACCACGAGAGAGTTGAACCCAAAGCACGGTTGCGCACAGCCCTGTATCTGTCATGAACAAGGTGCAGATAATGTGTACGGGTTCGTCACGTGATGCGAAGTTCTCCCGTCGCAGACCCTACAGCTGGAGTTGAACACTCTTTGGGGGTTTATATGTACTCTTGATATAAGCAAGAGTCATAACCCCCAGAGTGTGCAACGCCACACAAATCTCTGTCACAACTCGTTTTCAACATTACGTCATTTTCATGTCGCTGCGCGTGCAGGCCGCGACATTCGCTACATGAAAATGACGCAATGTTGAAAACGAGTCGTGACAGAGATTTGTGTGGCGTTGCACACTCTGGGGGTTATGGATTCTTGATATAAGTTATAGAACCATTGTCTGAATCCAGCACTCCACGCACCCGTGCATTTCACCAGGAAAAACAAGTTCATAGTACACTACAAATGATATGCCGTGCTTAATATACACGCACAGGGCTTCACCGTTAGAGTAGGTCTCGCCCAGTACCAGACCACAGTAGTACCAAGAGTTCATACCCCCCCCCCCCACACACACACACACGGTGCACAGTTTTCATCAGCATTTTCAACACGGGTGGAAAGTCTTCACGGTTGAAAGAACGTTGTCTGTTTATGCGCAGAGAGTTGACGTTGGCAGATACCTGATATGGTAAGAAAAGTCCAGTCGTGCAATACATAATGCAAACACTCCTGTCAATCTGTGTTCATGGCGGGGTTGACCCGGTCCTGGATTTTAGGTGCGTGAAGACTGGGGGATGTTTGAACTGCGCAGGCACCCACGTGAGGAAAAATAAGCTCCTCTTGAAGAAGTACAGATCAAACAGTCAGTGTTGGAGGTTCGAGTGTCAATTGAGTTCTTTGTCATGGCCTTTGATAAATTGAACGTCTTCACTGCCTGATAAAACGCACTCATTTCGAATTCGAAATGCACACATTTCTCGGAACGTCAAGAAATTTCAAAACCAACACCTTTCTTTGGCGCTTTAGACCTTGTGAGAGTGAGCAAGATCATCGCGTTTATGCGTGATACTGCCGCTTGGACACGAACCTCTTGTTGCAGTGTGAGCCCTCCCTGTGCGGAAGGAAAGGATGGACGAAAGGCATTGTACAATGTTCTCAGCTTGACACAAAGAGCCGAAGCTTCAACTCAATGATGCTGTCTACAGAGTAGGTAGGCACGAACAAAGTACAAACATGGAGGAGTTTTATTTCGAAGTTCAAAAGAGCAAAGACTTCACCCAGACTATGTGAAACATGTGGCAAAATCCTATCCTCAAGGAAATACTTCCTCGCCAAACTAAGCCAATGGCTTTGACTTCAAAAGCGGGGGTCGAAGTCCCCCCTCGATGCGTATTGAGCGCTAAAATAATTACAAACACAAACTAGAACCAACCCTGCGTGTATCAACGGCGGCAGTAGTAGCCTTCTTGGTACCAGCTTTGCTTTGTTGAGCAATGGACTGGGACCTGTTGCTGATATCACCAAGAGCACTTCGGGTGCTCTTGCCAACGAGGGACGGCTCGACAACGGTCTTGCCTGGGGCAGGACCAGCGATGGTGTTTTCCATGCCGGAACGCTGCAAAACGGGCAGAGATGCAACGCTCCATGAACAACGCGTCCACCAGTACCTTCGACACAGAACATACTTACAAGATTAGCTCTCCGGAGGGCCATGGTTGAACGTTGGTGGGCAAAAGGTCAAAAAGACTTAGCACTTTTCTTCTCTTCTCCACACAACACAACACCAGGAAGAGAAACACAACAGTCAGCTGACGAAAAGCTTGGAGCTGGCCTCTTTATCATCTTTTCAAATTTCGTGACACAAAGCGGAGTAGCCAATCAGAGCTCGATCACGTGGCCAAAATGTACGAAAGAACGACGTCATAGTACTCTACTGGCATGACATCCGCGTACCCGCACATTTGAAAAAAATGTGTGTGCGTGTACGTGTGCACGTGCACTCGAGAGTACTCTCTTGCTACATTTTTTTGTAGGATGCTGCACCATGTCACGTGCACGTCGTTGATTTTTCCCTGCTTCGTCTCCTCCGATCCTACACACTTGACTTGTATATTTTCATTTTGGGTGCAAGCAAGAGTACATGACTGTACTCTTGGTGCATGCTAGCAGTAGCATTCTGCACGAAAATGAAAATAATAATTATTACCTCCAGTTCTTTACCATCCTAGCCAGGTCTAGGCGTCTTCGTGTTGAATTCTTTTAATCCTGTCCCATTCCCTCCCGTGGAGCGGTGTTGGATGCGAGTAATCAGATCTAACAGAATGTCGAAGGGAAATTTTGTCGTCCCTTCGTTTCCACTGAAATTCAAAAAGCTTTATTACGTCTCGGCGATTCGAAGATAGCACCGGAGCTAAAAGGACAGAATCGAAGTAAGGCATTAGAATAGTGTGCACTTTAGATCTTGTAACACCAAGCACAATCTTCTGAAACTGACACCCTGACTACTCCACTTTTGTGACGTAAATGTTATTCCAAAATACAGGTACATGTACATGTACTCTGGGTTCATGACATGCACTCTAGAGTCTGGACTATTCCAGAATTTCAATTTTAGGGACATTGGAAATAATTTCGAGCACCAGTTAGTAGTTACCCACTGCACTGTACAGTAAAACCTGTCAAGGCGACCACCTGTCCCAGAAGACCACTGCAACCAGGACACAGGGATGCTTTTTCCAGTCAAACGACCTTGGATAAGGAGACCACCTGGCAACAGAGGCCACATTTCGAAGGTCCGTTGAGCGGTCGTCTTAGACAGGTTTCACTGTATTAGTATTAGTGATTTCTGATCAGAGCTAACAGATTCAGTTCACATTCGAAGGCGCTCGGCGGGATGACGATTGATGGCATTGCGTGTGAACACCAGGAGCAGCAATGCAACCGTGCTATCGTGCAAATCGGGAAGCGGCGGAAGATCTGTTCAACTGTTTTTTAAATACCGTCAAGAGTACATAACCCCCAGGCCGTGTGCAACTCCACCTATAAGCCGTATGCAGGTTGTACAGATGCCCGAAATCCCGCAGAATCTCGTAGAATCCCGTAGACCCGGTTGGGTGTTGAATGTGCATGACCCCAGTGTGTTTGCTGCTATTTCCACTACGAAATGGACCCTGAAGGCATTTCATATGAAAACTTGCACTATGCACTGTTTGCCAGCGTAACCTATTGAACCATGTCACGTGGTGTGCAGTTCTGCCGTCGTCGCAGCACTGGATAGAGATTGTGCAGGCAGTTGCACACTCTTGGGGCTATGTACTCTTGATACCGTGTGAGCACATGTGGGGATACAAGCGTACAGAACAGCTACTAGTATGTTTCGAGTGTGAACTGACCGTATCCATGGCGTTGCGTGGCAATGTGCATAACGACAATTTAAACTTTGCCAATTTGAGCATTTCAGCCACTAGTTCCCATTGAAATTTACCGAATGAATGATACAGCTGAATTTATTTTTAGCAAGTCAGGATTTCAAGGATTTTTATTTGCTTATTTGGGGATGCTGTGAAGCGATAAACGTTTACGACGCACGGATGTTGCGTTTTCAAGAATCACACTGCATCACCGTTAGAAAATGTCGAGATTTGATCTCTTCAGTTCGATCATGTATTGTCGACATGTTCACGATCAATGCGAAAAGCAGCTTGCGGCGATTTATATTTGCGAATGTGTGGTGGCGAAAATGGCTAAGTTTTATCTCTAGCGAAGTTTCTCAGTTTACAGCAGTGCAGGACTTTGACAGGCGAACTGGTGTGTCTTTTCATGTGGCTTTTAGTAGAGTGGCACAAAGTGTGCGGCTACTTTTTGGTGTTCATTACAAAGTGATACATTTAGTGTCAACATGGTTCTGTTTCTTTTGACGAGAAATAATAAAATCGAATTGGTGAAAAACAAGAAATTAGGATCGAAATGTTCAACCTGTCACAGGGTGTGCTTTATGCCTTGCGCCGATTGACGTTGAACAACCCAACAACTGCTACATGTCATGTCATACAAATTGCACAAAATGTCGCAGCTCGCCCCAGGCTTCCCGGCGGCTCTTACGTATCGTCAGCGTTTCGCTGGATGTGAAATTGGCTTTCTGAACCATTCTCACTGCCTTTGAAGGCAGAAATTGCCAGAAACACAAACCCCTGAACAGTGTGCGAAATTTGCGCTTATCTATTGTTGATAGCACATGTCTAACTCACCGAGTGGCTCATTATAATGACGATGTGAGCGCCTCTTGATTTCAGGCGGTGTTTATAATTATGGAGTTTTTACCCCGGGGCTGACCTCGACTCAGTCTTCACACAAGTGCACACCCAATGTCTGGGATAAAACTCAGGCTAGGCTGGTGACTTTAAACTCACCCTGGGCTGGAAGTGTGTACAATCATTTGTCCTCTTTTGACCATACTGGCATAGAAGAGAATTGACCCGATACTAACATGTACGCTCTATAGTGGAGTCATCCCGGGATGATAACAGAAGCCCCCCCCCCCACACACACACACACACAAATTGGATGGAAAATTATATAATAATATCTGAAGAAGGGAGGATGGCAACACCATTTTTGCATTTGGCTGGGTTTAAGTGCTCACATGACCGGATTTCACTGAGCAGCACTGTGCATGTGTGTGTGTGTGTGTGTGTGCGCATGTGTGTATGTGTGTGTGTGTGTGTGTGTGTGTGTGTGTGTGTGTGTGTGTGTGTGTGTGCATGTGTATGTGTGCATGTGTATGTGTGCGTGTGTCTACCCTTCAGGTGACGATCTCTCTATCATGTGCTTAACATGTGAAACAGCGCAACTCACTCGTCAATGTGTCGTCATGGCACACTGTGAACCCTCTACTGCTGCAAGCAGCAGCAAGCTACATTCCGCAGTGCCGAAGGAAGCAGGGTGACAGAGCATAGGATATGATCTCTGTTGCCGCTTGTATCTCTGGCCAGAGTGAAGCACTTGTGTGAGTCTTGTACACTGTTCGTTATGATATTGTATAGCGGCCATATGCAGCACAGCCTAATGGGAACATCAGCACTGCGTACATGTACATGCCATGCCGTTCATTGCTTACTGTTTGGGAGGCGCGCGCATGTGTGTGTGTGTGTGTATGTGTGGAAAGCCACTTCATAGCTGTGTGGTGTAGACCAGGCTGAAAAGTGGCGGTCAATTCTTCAGCCTTGCAAGCTGTTGAATGGTGCAATCCCAGCGCAAGTTGCTATGGCTCCTGCTGTAGCATCGCTATCATCGCCTTTGGCGATGGACGTCAAATGGTCAAATAGTGTGTGTGTGTGTGTGTGTGAGAGAAGCAGTTCCTTGTTGACGATGGTGCTCACTCAGCTTTAGCTGACCTGTGGATGTAGCTACAGCACTGTCGGGTGCCGAAGAATGAACAGGCTAGAAATTCACCAAGCAGCACAGCATACCGTTATCTGCGCGGTGACTCCACTGCGGATAGACTGATGTATATGAAAATAAGAGGGGTCTAGGCTACGAGGCTGACCTCCCCCCCCCCCCCCCCCCCCCCCGTCCAGTTCTTCGGCACCCGGCAGTGCTGTATGAGTACAAATTTTCGTTCACGAAATCTTTCGTTATTTCACTCCACCAGCAGGCTTGTTACGTACTAAATTTCGTTTTTGGTCGAGGTCTGTCACCCCGAACGTTCAGAAGAAGATCTTTCGTTATTTCACTCCACCAGCAGGCTTGTTACGTACTAAATTTCGTTTTTGGTCGAGGTCCGTCACCCCGAACGTTCAGAAAAAAGCTTTAGTTTGGTACAAACTTTAGTTATTCCGTGCCCCCTAACGAATATGGCGAAAGTTAATTTCCAAACGAAAATTTGTACTTCTACAGTACTGAGCAGGTGGTGCATGTGCTGTACATGTGGTGCATGTGGTGGATATTGCACGTAAGGTGCATTTATTATGACCCACCCCGTGTCGGGGTTGGCAGGCTAAACAACACATTAAAAAACATTGGATGTTGTGACTTACTGTTTTTTTTCAGAGGAATTTTTGAATGGGTCTGGAGATGGCCACCGTTTTGGAATGGAGCAAGAACACCAGGTCCTGCTCCCACATCATCATCGTCATCAACAGCAGCAAAAGCAACAACACGAGTGTGAGCTGTAGCCACCGCGGCCGCAGGAACAGCAGCATCCGAGCAGCAACAGCAGTAGCGGCAGCCGCAGCCGCAGCAGCAGCAGCAGCAGGAACTGCACCGCATTAGCCTCACTGGCAGTAGCAGGAGCAGGGACAGCAGGATCAGCAGTAGTGGCAACTGCAATAGCCGCACTAGCAGCAGCAGTAGTAGCAGCAGTAGTAGTGGCACTAGGAGGTGAACACATTTTCATGGAGCGTGTGTGCGTGTGTCGGGGGGGGGGGGTGAACATGCATACGAGTTCAAGGTGTGTGAACACAGTTCATGGAGAGTGTGTACAATCATGGTGTGTGTAGGATTGGGGAGAGTGAACAAAAAAAAACCCTGAATATGTACTCAGCTCACATACCCGCGTACGTGTGTGGGTGAGGTGGGCTGCGAGTCACCATGCCGTCCATGTTTGGACCACAAGTGCGCGCTCACACTTCACAGGCCGCTGCAGGGTGAGCAGAAGTGTGGCCAGAAACCATGGGAACTTCCCCATCCTCGACCCTGCCGATATGGACAAAGCATGGCCAGCTGGTACCACTCAGTAGAGATTTCACGTGCAATGAACTAACAAGTAACCGACATTCATTGGATTGAAATGAATGTACTCATGTACAGTGTGGATCGGTTATAGCGTGGTCGTGTAAAAGAATATACTGCCTGCAAGAATGAACTCTCATGTTTTCATAATCATAACATGGGTTTCAAGTGCACATTAATTTATTCTTACAAGCAATTTTATCGCACACTAGAATACTAGTATAATTATCGGTCCTAAGAATGGTTTTTGTGTAGTGAAACACGCTAGATTAGTACTTGTACAAAGTATATCGCCTGTAGTAATAATACAGTAGAGTCGCGCGCTGAAGAACGTGGAGCCCAAGAACGTCCAGCCTGAAATACTAAGAACGCCACAGCCTAAAGCTAAGAACGTCGGTGTTGGTTTTCTGGCGGCTTGTGGGACACATATGATTCAGTATGGATTGATTCTAAGAACGTGTTATAAGAACGCAGCCAGATTACTGAAAAATAAGAACGTCCCAGGCTAACCCCTCGGAAACAACGTTCTTGGGCGCGCGACTACTGTATCCGTCCAATGCAATTCTGATCCGACTCGCGTTGGGTCGTAGTGCATGCTGCAGGTTCAACTGTTGTGGTCATGTAACTCATGACGTTGCATAGCCACATGGTAAGCCTATGTGACTACATGTATGACCAGCCGCATGCACAGTAACATTACATAGTCATTGCATGTACGATGATCTTACTGCCTCTGCGCACATGCACATGACATGTCACACTTGATTTATCGTGTGTAAGAAACATCGGAAACAAGAATAGAAAGTCGTTTTTCAAACACCCACGCTATAACCGATACCTACTGTACATTGTATAGTATGCATGTATGAATTCATAATAGCCATGAACAGTGCCATGTGTTTATTAGTAACTCGACTGTACACAAATACAATACAATGCAGTGCAGTCATGTAGTACAATGTTTTTTTTTGGGATGGCTTTTTATTTTTCACCCTCCCTCATTGAATGTACAATGTATGAAGTACGAATGTATCAAGAATGTATCAAGTACGAGAAAGGTGACAAGAAACATGGACAAAAACAGTGTGGTCTTATACTCCTGTCTATTGATATGCCAGTACATGGATGTGCTGGCAGTCAGCTCAACGATCGTCTTAGAATAGTGTGCATAGCAGAGCCGGTGTAGAGCCTAGCTGGAGTGTCATAAACCCCGGGAGAGAGTAGGGTGTGTGTCGGGGGGTGGGGGGGGGGGGGGGGGGTGGGGGTGGAAGGTGAGGAAACATTGCTTAGAAAGAGAGTGTGGGAGAGAAAGAAAAATAGGGAGTGCGTGCGAGAATGAGATGGGGGGGGGGGGGGGGGGGTTGATGTACACATCACATGAGCCTAAAGAAGTTTGAGCTTGTAAACGCGTGGCGGATCATCTCTTTCCGGTGCAAGATTTCCAAAAGCAATGAGATGACCGTCAAAAGCAGACAGATACGGTCGTAGGGCTAATGTTGGTATAGGAGGCAATTGCTTGACTACACTTGATGCCAGATCTATGGAGTAACATTCGCGGTGGGTCTTCCTCGAATCATGGTCACGATCAGCAATGAACAGTTGGTCATTGTACACGGCAACCGTGGCGCCGCGCTGATCCTTCCTGATTGGTGGATAGATCGATGAACGCACCCAGTGCATTTCAAGCGTACTGCTATCCGTGTGAAGCGAGTATACAGGAAAGTCGTCCGCCGTCTCGCTGAAACCGCCAGCGAGATAGACGTCACCGTTGTACGGAAATATTTTGGCATGACTCATTGCCTGCGGGAGGACGGGCAGGAGATTTCCGCCTCTGCTGTCGCTGTTTTCCCAGTCTGAGGAGAGGGTGCTGCTGGAGCTGCTGTTGATTGTCACACCGCTGCAGTAGGAGATAAGTGTGTTTTCATGACGTGGAATGCCACCGCAAAGGAGAACGATAGTGTCAGACGCGTACATCGCTGGATGTTGCTGCGAGAACGGGCTGACCGTTGACACAACCCTCACTCCCTCGCGCGCAATAAAGTACACATTACTATCGACCCCGTTAGATTTTTCTGCGTACATATATACCGTATTATCTCTAATATAAGCACGGTCCTTTATTTTTTCAATGTACCTCCGCCCCGTGCTATTAATGGAGACGTTCCTTTATTGGAGACTGTTCCATTATTATTTCAACCTCATTTCAGAGGCATGTTGCCATGCCAAATTCATGTATGACGCACACATTTCAGGGTTTTTTCGCCGGTACAGATAATGAATTTACACAGTGTGCTTATAATGGAGACTGAGCACTTTATTTTTTGAATGCCGCCCCAAGGTGTTCTATTATTGGAGACGTGCTATTATTGGAGACTGTGCTTATATTAGAGATAATACGGTATGTGTTGTTCATGAGCATAGACAGCACGGCAATATCTCAGGTCCTTAGGTACTTCCACTGCATGCCAGGCGACACCGAGTGCTGCATTAACATCGTCCGTGTACGAGATGCTCAGACTGCCACTGTCAGGCGTGAAGAAGCAGAACAGAGCTTCGCGGAATGCAACGGAGTAGAGAACGTTGTCGAGACTAGTCTCCCAGGGAGCGGCAATTTGGTTCCACTGTGTGTGTGGGAGAGAGAGATAGATAGATAGAGAGAGAGAGAGAGAGAGAGAGAGAGAGAGAGAGAGAGAGACACACACACACACACACACACACACACACACACACACACACACACACACACACACACACACACACACACACACACATACATAGAACTATGTGATCAGGTCTTCTTAATTGTGACACACACACACAGAAATTGTGGAGCAAAGCAGGTTCCCCAAGCCTGCATAGACACATACCGGTACTATACTTTACTTTGACAAGAGTTGATCCAGCTTGTCAAAGGAGTCGATATTCGGCGGTACTTTGTTGACTTATTCATTCATAGTATTTATTTGAGGGATACATGTAGAGCAAGAGCCAATCGAGGTTTCCACAATGAAAATAGAACGCTAATTCGATATGGATAGCAGATAATTATGTCCTGGGTGGAGAAGAAATACGGTAAAAGTCAAGTGATACCTTTACATGCAATGTAGAAACTGGTACTTTGATGTACAGCGACGGAGCTCCCACTTAAATTCTTGTCACTCTGATATTTTTTACTTATGACGTCATCACTTTAAAGCACCACATAGACAGTATGCGTAATCATGGCAACTATTTACCTGTGGTGCAAACGGCGACACGGCCAAAGGTACTGTGTCTTGCGCAATAAACGCCCTTGGTCGCGTCTAGATCCAGAAGAGAGGCAATAGAAGTGCCAAGAGCAGGACTTCTATGGCTTACTTGGATACCGACACCCAGTCCAACGTCTACATGTATTTGAACAGGATTGTTACACAGTGACCGACAGGAAGAAGAGAAGAACAACGACAATAACAGCAATGACCGGGTATGAAGGCCCTATGTCGATATGAATATTGCGAACATACCACCTTGCTGCACCAATGCACCGCCTGTACTGCATGCTCCATCCGACGATGTGGGTGTCATGGGGTTTCTTTCGTGTCACTCGGGCAAATGTAAGCTCAGGCTGAGAATGGTTATTGAGGCCGGGGGGGGGGGGGGGGGGATTTCGCAAAAATCAGGAAACAATTTGAAACTTGAAAAACCTAAACCAGCCAACTGGCATGGCGTAGACAGGTTGTGATTGAGAGAAGCTCTTCATAAAGCTTGTAGCGTTTCAAGCGCCTTCCGATAATCATGTTCCCCTTGACGTTTCACAGCGTCCTAGTCCCTTTTGGTGTGTAAGTCCCTGATATTGCACATCACTTCTCAGGGCCACCATCATACTACGGTGTAACGAGAGAGCTTGGAAGCTCAGGGCCCTACGCTATGCTTTTTTGCCTTGATGACCTAGACAAAAAAAGCATAGGGATGTTATAAATTCTTATAAATTTCTACTTTTTGTTTTTAGACATAACCTGGGGTTCGAACCCGCACTATCGCCCTGCATGCATCCCCCGATACACTTCGCATACATACTAATTCTTCCAAGTTGCTTCACGTTATGATCTTGGATTTGAAAGCCCTATTTGAATATGCATTGTAGCCAGCCGTCTTTGATTGTACGGTACGGTACGGGACAGGTACGGTCGAGGGTATTACGACACCATCTACCGCCTTGATGACGGCAAAAAAAGAATAGGGATGTTATAAATTTTTCAATTTTCCTATTTTTTTCAGGCATTACCTGGGATTCGAACCCGCACTATCGCCCTACATGCATTCCCCCATACACTTCGCATTCATACTCATTCTTCCAAGTTGCTTCACGTTATGATCTTGCGTTTGAAAGCCCTATTTGAATAGTGCGGCCAGCTGTGTTTGATGGTACGGTATGGTACGGGACAGATACGGGATAGCGCCAGGCGTGACACAAACACACAAACAAACAAACACCAAATTAAAGCTGTGTGGACCCTGGCTAGCGCCAGACGTTACTGAAGCAACGTCTTCTGCATAGCTACGGGAATTAACCTCATTTCACTGCATACATGTATCGCATTAGAGACTTCTGCATTGGCAATTCATCAAACCATTATTATATCTATAAACACCTTCATGACTAACCAGGAGTTGCAGTCCTGAGCTGTCTATCTCTTACCTGCTCAAGCAGAGATGCTGTGTTAGGAGCCAGCGCCCGTTCCTGTTCCTGCTGACTTGGTGGGGTATTCTGCTGCCGTGTCCAACGCATCCGCAGCTGAGACGTAGCACGGGCATCCGCAACCGTCTTCTCGATCTGAGCAGGCATTGGTGGTGTATTGGTTGGCATAGTAACAGAGCAGCAAAACAGCTCATAGACACTGGACTGTGCTTTGGCAGTGCCCGTTTAGATACCTCAGTGTTTACGCTTTGGTGTAAGTGATATGCAGATATGGAGAGCTCATAGACACTGCGCTATGCACTGGCAATACGTGGGCTGGGGAAAGGGAGGGGGGGGGGGGGAGAGAGAGAGAGAGAGAGAGAGAGAGAGAGAGAGAGAGAGAGAGAGAGAGAGAGAGAGAGAGAGTGGCAGTGGACTCCAACAATTGTGGAAAAAACGCAATCGCCGCAACGTGGTCACCATAAGGTAGTGGGAACACGCCGATCTCAAACGTGTCCCCACATCATTTTAGACGTTGAGGTGTGCATGTGAATTTGGGCCTCCAGGGGACTGTAGAAAGGCGTCCTCGATTTCGAGTCACGTGTTTCCACATGTTCAAGGACAATGCCCACAGTTTATCACATGGCGGTCATACTCTATGCCGGTGCCCCGTTGTGCCTGATAAGCACCCTGTTCTATTAAACTAGGTCACAGGTCTCTGTCTGACACTGCACAGTATCGATCGATTGCAACACACTGCCAGCTAGACAATGTTTTACATTTTTGTACAAGAAAGCTCAAAGAAATATGTGTTGTTGTTGTTGTTGTTGTTGTCGTTGTCGTCGTTGTTGTTGTCGTTGTTGTTGTCGTCGTCATCGCCGTTGTTATTTTGCAGTTACATGTACACGTGGGCTTTGCGCAGCAAAGGCTAGTTATAGTTAGCCCTGGCACACGCGCCGTACTGGCATGTTGCTGTGAGTGTGTGTCACGTGGCTGTCCCTGCACGATTTGCAAGCTCGCCAAATTTTACTGGCATCCTATTATGTATCTAATATTGACTGGGTACGAGGTCGATAAATATGGTGGTAAAGACACACCTGGCAATATGGCGGTAAACACACGCCTGCCCACACACGCTCTCTAGGCTGCAAAGTTCTGGCACAGAGCTCTCCTTCTCACCACCACCACCATCAGTTCGCGCCTGGCGCCTGGTCGATGCATGGCTGGCGGTATCCGGCATAGCAGGCTGGTACATCACGTAGCTCATGGCACATAGATGATGACACAGCAACGACATAGCTCGATTGCGACGTACGCTTCGTCCCCGCTGGACTCATCAGGCAATCTTCTTCTTGGATGTCTTCATACGGAGCTTGATTCGGGAGAATGAAATTGAAGACACCACTGCAGCTGTACTTATGGTTGATAAATATGGTGGTAAAGACACACCTGGCAATATGGCGGTAAACACACGCCTGCCCACACCGCCATATTGCCAGGTGTGTCTTTACCACCATATTTATTAACCATAAGTACAGCTGCAGTGGTGTCTTCAATTTCATTCTCCCGAGTCAAGCTCCGTATGAAGACATCCAAGAAGAAGATTGCCTGATGAGTCCAGCGGGGACGAAACGTACGTCGCAATCGAGCTATGTCGTTGCTGTGTCATCATCTATGTGCCATGCGCTACTTGATGTACCAGCCTGCTATGCCGGATACCGCCAGCCATGCATCGATCAGGCGCCAGGCGCGAACTGATGGTGGTGGTGGTGAGAAGGAGAGCTCTGTGCCAGAACTTTGCAGCCTAGAGAGCGTGTGTGGGCAGGCGTGTGTTTACCGCCATATTGCCAGGTGTGTCTTTACCACCATATTTATCAACCATAAGTACAGCTGCAGTGGTGTATTCAATTTCATTCTCCTGGGTTTGAGGTCAATATAGGAAATAAAAGCCGAGGGCTTTTACGAGGTTTTTTATTTCCTATACTGACCAAGTACGAAGTCAATATTAGATTTATCACGACAAACAGTCCGTATTTTAATTCCAGAACGATAACCTCATGAATCCCGGTTTTATGATTGCACAACCGTTGCACCATCACCCACTCATACAGCGACCACGCTGAACTAGGCACCGTTCAACTGCGCAACCCATAAGCAGTCAAATATAAGCAGTCAATATAGCCCTAAGGAGTGAAATATGCAGGAATATTTGACTGCTTAGGTATAGTGAAAATCAATGGGAGTCAATCCTGAGAGAGTGATCAGGTGTCATATCGGAAGATGAGTATTCTTCAAGCTCTGGAACTGTCGGGATGTGAAGGAGCGTTCCTTTGCAGTTGATTTCTTGATGCGTCAAAGATGAAGTTTAACTTTTCCGTCAGTTTGTCCAGTTAGTTTCTTGCTCTCTCGGCATTGTCGTCAAGCTACAGGTTACAATTCTGTCACTTGGCTGGCAAACAAACCGGCAGTTTTCCAGTCCCAATATCTTCATGCGGAACATTTTGCCGAGCAGCATGACGACAGATTGCTCTCAGGTTCCTCCCCGTGCCTTGCCCATCCTGGCGCATTTTTCCACTCACAGTACTATTCTCCGCCTGCACCAGTCGCGTCGGAGATCGAGCGCATCGCCACGCACAATGCTGATAGCAGCTGAGGGCAGAAAACGGTGGAGAGAACGTACTCGTAGTACAAGTAATTAGTTGACATCGCAAGTGGATCGTCCTGCTCCTAACTACGATTTTGCGTAGTCGTCGGAGATGCCCCTGCATACCAGCGCCTCCCCAGCAGATTGCCACAGGTGCAATCGTTGTGAGAATCAATCGACGATTCGTCTTGGCCCATCTAGTCTCCATGCCCAATAAGCGTCATCAGGATGAGGCACAAGGTGACATTGAGAAGCTTAGGGGACCCCATCAACGACGGGTTGCGTTTGACGATATCAAAACTCAACTCAGTTACTTTTAAAGCCACGAGTCGCGAAGATGCAGCTGTCAGTGCGGCTGTTTCCGCCCCTGTTACTCGAGGTAAGATGCAACTGGAATAATTCACTGGAGCAAGTTGTTCTCGCAGTGATTTCCAAGTGTCCATTGTACACAGCACGTTCAGCAGAGTGCTTGCATTTAGCTCCAACTCTCGGCAACAGAGCGACAGGCGAAGCACTATCCATTTATCAGCTGGGTCGTGCGGATGCGACTTTGCGTTTGGCATGGGAGTGGCTACACATTTTTCCCTGTTACCAATGCAGGCGTTATGCCGGGCTCATCATCATCCTAGCACCATTTGTCGGTCAGGACCGGACATGTCCGTCATATCAGCGTGGAAAGAGCAGCGGTTGTTACTGCTGGGCAGATGAGATGGCCCATCCGCTACGCGAGTCATACAGCGTGGGTATTATTGTAATGTCACGGTTTGCGAGTTACGCAAGCGTTGCGTTTGGCACTTTGGCCTTAGCAGTATGTCCGAAATCATAGGCGCCGTTATCAGAAATCTCGGGAGCAGTTCCAAAATCACCCCGCGTCACCAGAGCAGACTTGATAGCGTAACTGATTATCCGGAAGACCATTTATCATTCGGGATGGTACATGTCCATTGAATCACTGTTGGCAGAGCAGTTGTTGCTACCGCTGAGGGGACGAGACGCCCCAGCTGCTGCGTGGGCGTGCCGTGGGCAAACCAACCCTTGTTGCCGCTGCTGGCATTCGCCATACCACGTAACCGACGGAGATCAGTTTCAATGCCTCAGAATCCTGACTACCCACTACAAGGTGCATTGGTGCATCCAGCCCCGCAGGTTCTGACACCACCGTCGCCTGTGGGTGACATCGAATAGCGGCAACAAATTGCGTTCTCTTGAAATGGTCAGTCATTATTCACTACCTACCCTCGCCCCCGGGGCATGTCATTGTTGCCGTGTGCATGCAAGCATTCATGCGGACGATATGCGGATGATATGCGGATGTATCTCTGCTTGCCGTGCTATGCTTTCTGCCAGGCACATGTTGAACAAAAAATGCCTGCCTGCTCCTTTTGAGGCCCGACCAGTGCATTACGGCTGGTGCTTCCATTTGCTCTGCAGTGCTCTGCAGTCACCACACGTCTCTGCAATCGCGGGTCGACGCTATGATCTGGAGTCTAGTTTTGTTTCCATAGAGCACCCCATTAAAAATTCATTTCCGAGTCAACTCTAGTACTCAATGCCTTGCAGGCCGAGAGCGAGATCACAACACTCGTGTCATCGGCCGACGGTGGACAGCAGCAGGCTAGCCCTCGGTGGGTCACTCGTGCGTCTGTCCCCGGTGGGCAGTGTGGATCACTGACAATCGAATGTGATAATATGACGGAACTTTTGTCGTTTGCTTAAGCACATTATTTAACATCTTCTTAATAAAATGCAGTCATGCCTCATGGGAACCCCCAACCCTATGTGTCAATTGCTTGCGCGTGTGCACGTCGGTACGTTGTGGACGCACAGGCGTGGTGTGGGAGTGTCTGCAATTATGTTTGTGCACATTGATGTGTGTGTGCGTGCGTGTGTGTGTGTGTGTGTGTGTGTGTGTGTGTGTGTGTGTGTGTGTGCGTGCACATGTGCGCCTGCGCATGTGCGTATGTGGAGGTGTGCCCGCAGGCCTGGGTGTGTAGCCGTGGGTCTGGACTAAATGTACAATTATACTTGTGCACGCGTGGAAACTCACACAACTTACTGTGTCTTGCTCAGGCGTGTCTTCAGCTTCACCCAGCCAGCGCAGTATGTGCTCATGTAGCTCGAAGGCTGACGGGCGTTGCGTCGGATCATTGGAGAGACATCGCAATACGATCGGCTTCAACGCGTGACCATCGTCAAGACGATCCAGCTCGGCCTTCCGTCGCTCCAATTCCAGTATTGGCACTTTCTCGCCGCTGGCGTTTTCTCTGAAGTAGGGTGCCAGGCGAATCTGAGGATCGGGCAATCGACCTGTCAGGACGGCTGTTGCAAGGACACCGAAAGCAAAGATGTCGATGCTCGAATCATAGCCCACGCACTGACCTTCAGCTGCGGACCAGGGGAATGTTTCCGGTGCCATGTATATGCAGTTTCCCGGCGTAGACGTTAGCTTACCGCCCGTGGCCGACCCGTTGTCATGGTTAATGCCATGTATATGCAGTTTCCCGGCGTAGACGTTAGCTTACCGCCCGTGGCCGACCCGTTGTCATGGTAAAGCAGGGATATACCGACGTCAGTGATCTTGACCGTGTCCCCGGCCTGTGTTAGTAAGACGTTTGCCAGTGTGAGGTCACGATGAATGAAATGCCGCATGTGCAGGTAGCGAAGGCCAGCCGCCACGTCACGCACATACCCATGCATTCGCGAGTCGCCACCGCCGATGCCACTAACCTGGGAAGGTGTGGCAATTGCGTCATGCAAGTTACTAGCAAGCAATTCCATCACGATAAGTGGGATATTGCCCTTGCTCCTGGCCAGTCCGATCACCTGCCCGATGTTGGGGTGCTGCAGCATCGACATGCGCTTGAACTCTGCGCCAAATTTCAGCATGTTGGCCTTATGCTCTGGGTGATCTGCGTGTACTCGAACCGGATTGGGTAGTTTGATGGCCACGTGCAAGCCTAGGTCTGGATGCCATGTTCGATACACCCATGCGTGCATTCCTGAGGCAATCAGGTCACACGTGGACATGTCAAAATCAATGTCGCCCAGAAAGCACACATCGGCGACGTCCAGTCCAAGCAGGCTGAAGAACCGATCAGAATCCTGCGTCGCCCGCATCTCACTCTCAGTCTTCGGCTGATCACTAACACAACAGTAAAGACAGTCACTGTACCGCTCCTGGTTGATATCTACATAGCGTGCAGCAGCAGCAGTCGCTATCCTGGACCTGGTGTGAGCATGGGCTCTCCAGTCATCCTGTCCAAATGAGACAACGGTAGATAGGGCCCGGGTAGATCTACAATCATGTGATTGTTCTTCAAAATAATATGAACGGATATCCGCAAGGAACAAAGAGCCTGGACGTAAAAAGGGGTCGTTACATAGTACTAGATCATGTAATGCAGATACATGTAGCAATATTCAGTGATATTCGTATTAAAATACAGTAGTAGTAGTTCTACGCGCGTGTGCAGCTGAAACCGACAGTAGTACTGTCCGTACTGACAGTAGGCTGTTCGGACGATTTACATAATAATTTCTGGCACGCTGCTCCATCATAGTACATGACATTGTGTTACTAGTATACTACCGGGTCTATACGACTCCCTGGTACAAACTACTTTTTCGTGCCCGCTAACGAATAGCGAAGTTTCCAAACGAAAATTTGTACTTGGTCTTCTCATACCGGTACAGTTATTTTTATAAGAGACTAGCAGCACCCCCGCCGGCGTTGCCTGGCCGAATGTGGCATGCGGGTGAAGCAAGTACATGAACAGCACACGTGCTCAGCACGTGGTGGTGGCCAGACTGCTGAAGTCCTGGTGAGGGAGGTTCTTCATCGTCCCTCAGACGTCCCTCCTTCTCCTTCCAACGCGTTGGAAGGAGAAGGAGGGACGTCTGTTACGCCTTCGGGAGGCTGGTCAGGGTTGTCCATCACCTAGTACCGGTGGCGGATGAAGCGGCTCAAAAAATTCATAAACTTACAAGTACGAACAAAAGTGCGATGCGCTCTTCACTGCAGATCAGATGCAGAGTGCAGTCAGTGCAGATCTTTTGTATCCTTTTGTTGCAGATGTTTCTATTTGCAGAGAACGGTTCACGTGGTCCGCAGCGCTTGTGCGGCTGCTAGTGCTACCTATGGCCTAGGCTACAGTGAGTCCATTCATAAAAAGATGGGTCCTGGCTCTGGCGAGCTCCCGTATTTGGCGATTTTTCGTGATTTCATCGTACACAGTGCAGTGCTGCGAACTTTGAAATTTGAAAAAGGGTCCAAAAGGGTGCCTGAACTGGGTTTCGAACCTCAGAATGCACTGTTGCAGGCGGGGTCAAACGGCCTGGATTTTGATGGTTATCCCAGTGCTTTTGGGGCAAAACCTGGCCGAAATCCTATTCTTGCTATGGCTTGCTTTTTGGACAAAAAAACTTCAGAAACATAATTGGAAGCAGGGAGTCGTAAAATACCGGTATTTTACGACTCCCTGATTGAAAGAGGATTCCATATGGGATTGCAGAAAAAAATTCTAAAAAAACTCAACGTTTGACCCATTTATGGCCAAAAGTAGAAGTTCATTTTTTTCTGAATGGACTGTAGGTGGCTACATGATTCGCACGCTTCGCGTGCTCAGTGCTTCTGCGCGCGGCTGCTACTGCTACTCGTAGATCTACTGATCGTGTCTGCTACATGTATAAGTATAAGCGCTACCAGTACCACCGTACCTACACTGTTCGCACGCTTCGCGTGCGCGTGGTACCGGTGGTGGCTACACGATTCGAACGCTTCGCGTGCTCAGTGCTTCTGTGGCTGCTTCCGCTAGCTACACGATTCGCACGCTTCGCGTGCTCAGTGCTTCTGCGGCCGGCCGCTAGCTAGCTACACTGTGCTACACTGTTCGCACGCTTCGCGTGCTCAGGGCAGCGCTGCTCCGCAGCGCTTCAGCGTGACACAAAAACACACGTCACAGGTGCCTCTTCTTTATAAGGAGCGTGACACACACACACACAGACACACGTCACAGGTGCCTCTCTTTTATAAGTAAAGAAGATAGTACAGTGCTGGCAACTGAAATCCGAGCCCCTGGGCGGGGCGCCGCGCCGCCCAGGGGGTCGGATTTCAGTTGCCAGCACTGTGACTTGACTAGTCTTGTCTTTGCCATGCAAGACACGTCTCATTATGCATTATGTAGATCTACAATCATGCATCATGCATCGTGGAGATTATATCGATAGTTGCTTCGTAACTCGTTTCCTTGTGTTTCTTCTTCTATTTTCCATGATTACTAATGTGAAGATCGGGTTCAGTGACAGATCGAATACTAGTGCTATGTAGTATAGTGAAATTTTGTTTTCTCCCGAAGTAGTGTCGATATTTCCTATCTCCACCGAGTCTGTAAGACTAGTTTTGTTAGTGTGGGTATCGATTGCAGCCGCACACGCGCGTCTGGGCTCTTTGATTCTTGCCGATACCCGTTGATAAACTAGGATTAGATTATTTGGACAGGATTACTGGAGTGGAGAGCCCAGCTAGTCTCACACCACGATAGCGACTCCTGCTGCTAGCTGCTGCACGCTATGTAGATAATCAGGAGCGGTACAGTCTGCCCGGCCGTAGATCTACTACATTGTGTAGCTTTACTGCGGTGTTACTGTTAGTGCTCCACCGCGGCCCGTGCTAGTCCAGCACGAACCGAAGACTGAGAGTGAGATGCGGGCGATGCAGGATTCTGATCGGTTCTTCAGCCTGCTTGGGCTGAACGTCGCCGATGTGTGCTTTCTGGGCGACATTGATTTTGACATGTCCACGTGTGACCTGATTGCCTCAGGGATGCACGCATGGGTGTATCGAACATGGCATCCAGACCTAGGCTTGCACGTGGCCATCAAACTACCCAATCCGGTTCGAGTACACGCAGATCACCCGGAGCATAAGGCCAACATGCTGAAATTCGGCGCAGAGTTCAAGCGCATGTCGATGCTGCAGCACCCCAACATCGGGCAGGTGATTGGACTGGCCAGGAGCAAGGGCAATATCCCACTTATCGTGATGGAATTGCTTGCTAGTAACTTGCATGACGCAATTGGCCCACCTTCCCAGGTCAGTGGCATCCGCGGTGGCGACTCGCGAATGCATGGGTATCTGCGTGACGTGGCGGCTGGCCTTCACTACCTGCACATGCGTCATTTCATTCATCGTGACCTCACGCTGGCAAACGTCTTACTAACACAGGCCGGGGACTCGGTCAAGATCACTGACGTCGGAATATCCCTGCTTTACCATGACAACGGGTCGGGCACGGGCGGTAAGCTGACATCTACGCCGGGAAACTGCATATACATGGCACCGGAAACATTCCCCTGGTCCGCAGCTGAAGGTCAGTGTGTGGACTATGATTCGAGCATCGACATCTTTGCTTTCGGTGTCCTTGCAACAGCCGTCCTGACAGGTCGATTGCCCGATCCTCAGATTCGCCTGGCGCCCTACTTCAGAGAAAATGCCGACGGCAAGAAAGTGCCAATACCGGAAGTGGAGCGACGAAAGGCCGAGCTGGATCGTCTTGATGATTGTCACGTGTTGAAGCCGATCATATTGCGATGTCTCTCCAATGATCCGACGCAACGTCCGTCAGCCTTCGAGCTACATGAGCACATACTGCGCTGGCTGGGTGAAGCTGAAGACAAGCCTGAGCAAGACACAGTAAGTTTTGTGTGTTTCTACGCATGCACAAGTATAATTATAGAGCATTCGCCGAATCTGGGCCCTTGATACACTAAAACTACATCATATATGTGCACCATCTTGATGAACTCTCCATGATGGTCCAGGATCGTGCAGTTTGGAGAGGCTGTATTCATGCAGCATAGCACGTGTGCGGGCGATCTCTAGCGGAGGAATAGCAGCGGCACCATGTTTTGGAGAGAAAAAAACCATACGTATTGTGTCAATGTATATTGTACGCGATCTGTCAAATATCTGTGTCTGAAAAATACATTTTGCGCATATCTGGATCAATTTTCACCGCATTCACTTCACCTTAGGCTTAAAACAAAGGCAAAGATTACAACGGCGACGACGACAACAACAACAGCAACACATGTTTCTCTGACCTTTCTTGAGAGAGAGAGAGAGAGAGAGAGAGAGAGAGAGAGAGAGAGAGAGAGAGAGAGAGAAAGAGAGAGAGAGAGAGGGAGGGAGAGAGAGAGAGACCTGTGACCTAGTGTAATAGAACAGGTGCTTCTCAGGCACAACGGGGCACCAGCGTGGAGTATGACCGCCATGTGATGAGCTGTGGGTATTGTCCTGGAACATGTGGAAACACGTGACTTGAAATCGAGGAGTCGAGGACGCCTTTCAACAGTCCCCTGGAGGCGCAAATTCACATGCACACCTCAACGACTAAAATGATATCGAGGCACGTTTGAAATCGGCTTGTTCCCACTTACTTATGGTGACCACATTGCGGTGACCACATCTTTGCCACAATTGTTGGAGTCCACTGACGCGCTCACCCTCCCCTCCACCCCCACTCCTCTCCTCCCCCCCCCCCCTCCCCGCCAAGCCTCCTCTATTTCTGTCCTAAAACTCATTGTACCAGCGCTTGGGCCGAGTGGTTGTGGGCTTGCCTGCGAATCACAAGGTCCTGAGTTCGAGACCCGCGCTGGGAGCAGGGAGCGTGTACTGTGCGAAAAAATGCGGTGATGCATGCGTGAACCACTATACATGCAAGGAACTCTGCCGACACTCACGGTCAACTGCATGGGTACTCACTACTCGGAGTGAGGGTAACATGGATGCAGATAACGAGGTTTGCCCCTTGTTGGGCATTGGTTGTGAGAGTTGCCACCTCACCCTCGCCGTTAGGCGCTGCATCTGCCACCCTGGTATTACAGGCATGGTGGTGGCCTGGCACGAGCGAAACTTCCTAAACTGATTGTGTTTCTCATCACAATTGTATAGCCGGTTGTAACACGGACGTGCAAACTTTACTACTTACTTTACACTAACAAAGTGGTGGACATCACGCAACTGCATTGGATGGATAATTCTATATCTGTGATGTCGTTTCGGGCAGTCACCCATCATCAGAACATCATTGTTCTGACTGATGGGTGACTGCCCGAAACATCATAGTTTTCGACATCACAAAGAAAGAATTTTCATCCAGCGCATGCGCCGAGTGTGAATAGCAACTGAATAGAGCGGTTGTCGGTTGACAAACACCCTTTTCTTTAAAATTGATTGCAGTGCACACGACCTATACAATGACTTTGTAGTCACTTTATTTAATGTCCCTTGCACCAAAGCCTAAACACTGCAGTAGCTAGTCGCGCACTGCCAATACATAGCCCAGTGTCTATGAGCTGTTTTGCTGCTCTGTCACCATGCCAACGAATACATCAATGATCACTAATGCCTGCTCAGATCGAGAAGACGGTTGCGGATGCCAGTGCTACGTCTCAGCCGCGGAGACGGCAGCAGAATACCCCACCGAGACAGCAGCAACAGGAACGGCCGCTGGCTCCTAACACAACTCTGCTTGAGCAGGTAAGAGATAGACAGCTCAGGGTGGCAACTACAGGTTAGACACGAGTCCTTTTATAGATCTAATTAATGGTTTGAAGAAATGCCAATGCAGAAGTAAAGCGATACATGAATGCAGTGAAATGAGGTTTATACCATAGTATGGTGGTTGCCCTGACGAGTGCTGTGCTGTATCATGGACTTGCACACCAAAAGGGACTAGAAAGCCGTGAAACATCAACGGGAAAACAATTATCGGAAGGCGCTTGAAACGCTACACGCTTTATGAAGAGCTTCTCTCATTCACAACCTGTCTACGCCATGCCAGTTAGCTGGTTTAGGTTTTTCAAGTTTCAAACTGTTTCCTGATTTTTGCGAACTTTCCGCCGCCCCCCCCCCCCCCCCCCCCCCCCCCCTGGCCTCAATAACCATTCTCAGCCTGAGCTTACATTTGCCCGAGTGACACAAAAGAAACCCCATGACACCCACATCGTCGGATGGAGCATGCAGTACAGGCGGTGCATTGGTGCTGCAAGGTGGTATGTTCGCAATATTCGTATCGACTTAACTTCATAGGGCCTTCATACCCGGTCATTGCTGTTATTGTCGTTGTTCTTCTCTTCTTCCTGTCGCCCACTGTGTAACAATCCTGTTCAAATAGACATTGGACTGGGTGTCGGTATCCAAGCAAGAAATGATGACGGCCATAGTAATCGTGATCCTGGCACTTCTATTGTGGCTCTTCTGGAACTGGGCGGGACCACAGATGTTTATTGCGCAGGACACAGTAGCTTCAGCCGTGTCGCCGTTTGCACCACAGGTAAATAGTTACCATGGTTACATATAGTGCTTTAAAGTGGTTAATTTTAAAAGTTATTATTATCGCTGTACATAAAGTATCAGTTCCTACATTGTGTCATTTGCATGTAAATGTATCACTTGACTTTTACTGTAATTCTCCTCCACCCAGGACATAAGTATCTGCTATCAAATCAGCATTATATTTCACTGTGGAAACATCCTCGATGGGCTCTAGCCTTTGGGGTACATTATTGTATCCCTTAATTTTTTTTTACGAATCAATCAACGAAGTAGCGCCGCAGAATATTGACTCCTTTGACAAGGTGGATCAACTCTTGTCAAAGCAAAGTACAGTACGTGTATTATGCAGGCTTGGGAACCTGCTTCGCGTCATGTTTTCTCTGCCTGTGTCACAATTAAGAAATCCTGATCACATATTTCTATAATTATGTATATGTATATGACTGTATATTATATGTGTATATGTGTGCGTGTGTGTGCGTCTCTCTCTCTCTCTCTCTCTCTCTCTCTCTCTCTCTCTCTCTCTCTCTCTCTCTCTCTCTCTCTCTCTCTCTCTCTCGTAGTGGAAAGAAATTGCCGCTCCCTGGGAGACCAGTCTGTTCAACATTCTGTACGCTGTTGTATTCCGCGGAGCTCTGTTCTGCTTCTTCACGCCTGACAGTGACGAGCTGAGAATCTCGTACACAGGTGATGTTGAAGCAGCACTTGGTGTCGCCTGGCATGCAGTGGAAGTACCTAAGCATCTGGAGCTTTGTCAGGCTGTCTATGCTAGTACACAACACATATATATGTACGCAGGAAAATCTGACAGTATTGACAACAGTGTGTACATTGTTGCGCGCGAGGGTGTGAGAGTGGTGTCGACGGTAAGCCCGTTCTCGCAGCCTCATCCAGCGATGTACGTGTCCGACACTATCGTTCTCCTCTGCGGTGGCATTCATGACAACAAGCGTATCTCGTACTGCAGCCGTGTGACAATCAACAGCAGCTCCAGCAGCACACTCTCTTCAGATTGGGAAAATAGCGACAGCAGAGGCGGAAGTCTCCTGCCCGTCCTCCCGCAGGCAACGAGCCATGCCAACATATTTCCGTACAACGGTGATGTTTATCTCGCCGGCGGTTTCAACGAGACGGCGAAAGACTTTCCCGTGTACTCGCTTCACACGGATAGCAGTACGCTTGCAATGCACTGGGTGCGTTCATCGATCTATCCACCAATCAGGAAGGAGCTTCATGGTGCCACGGTCACTGCATATAATGGCAAACTATTCATTGCTAACCGTGACCATGATCCGAGGAAGACCCACCGCGAATGTTACTCCATAGATCTGGCATCAAGTGTAGTCAAGCAATTGCCTCCTTTACCATCATTAGCCATAGGACCGTATCTGTCTGCTTTTGACGGTCATCTCATTGCTTTTGGAAATCTTGCACCGGAAAGAGATGATCCGCCACGCGTTTACAAGCTCAAACTTCTTTAGGCTCATGCGTTGTGTACATCCCCCCCCCCCCCCCTCAGTATCTCATTCTCGCAAGCATCCTCTATTTTTCTTTCTCTCCCACGCTTCCTCTTTCTATGCAATGTTTCCTCACCTTCAACCCCTCCCGGGCTTTATGATACTCCAGCTAGGCTCTGCTATTCACACTTCTCTAAGACGCTCGTTGAGCTGACAGTCAGCATATCCATGTACATGTACATGTACGTAGTCACCTGGTTCTCAATCTATTGATGTTCTTCCTCTCCTTTGACTTAACATCTCAGATTTTGAGTTTTATCCACTCCACACATAATTTTATTTTCATTATTCTATTGGTTTGGTGAGACTCCCATGATAGGTATCCATTTACCTCTCAAGCCGTGCATGTTGTTCAGTGCAGTCTAGGCATGGACTTGGTAAAACTAGAATCCAGCCTCTGTACAAGTACAAAGACAAGTGTCGCATTCAGACAAGAGTGAAGTGAATGATTGCTTTCCGATTTACTAAAATCGAATACAGAAACAGACGCTTTCAACGAACATGTATTGTGATTTCAGTAAATCGCCGTTTCCAGTGGCGGGTCCAGATGGGGCTCGTCCCACCCCCCCCCCCCCCCCCCCCTAGGCCTCAGCGGCTAATGCTAGCATTAAAAGTAGCATTAAAGGCCTTTTTTGGAAACTAGCATTGCTCTAGCATTGCAAGCAGGTTTTATGGGGTAAAAAGCATTAAAAGGGGCCTGGGGGCTAAAAACCTTTCCAAGGCATACGCTGCAATGACCCATATGGTAATGTTTGCACCAATTATGGGGTCTGGGCCTCTTCTGGCACACAGCAAGTGCACAACAGGATTCAAGGGTACATATATGCCATACAGTAACAAAATGGGTACTCTTGGTCCGGCCACAGTCAAAATACCGTTACCGCTAGCGTTATCGTCTCAATGCTAAGGGTGCCTATTTGGAAGCGCCAAACCTACGCTACACACATGCCGTGATCCACGCGACTTGGCATTCTTGCGTCACAAGGCACGTGATTTCACCGTGCATCTTGCAATAAGATTCAAAAACTGCGCTCAGGCCTTCAGTCACTTTTGCATCAACAGTCGCACAAAACATTATTGGTGGCGCAAGGAGAAGCTTGTCGTTTGGAGTGACAAGTGATCACCGCTGCTTTTCCTTGTCAGAGTCAACACTACACTTTGTTCTGCGGCCTTGGGAGTAGTGTTGGAGTAGAAATTGCTGAGGAGACGTCGCGGAGGGGCGAGCTTTCCTGCGCAGGTATGACTTTGGCCGTATTTCAGCATGGTCGAGTGGAAAAATTCAAAAAAGTTTATTTCAAGAAAACCCCAAAGGGTGCACCCTTAGCAAGCCTCAACACTGACAGACCACCTGGAAGTGGAGCTCATGCTCCAGTACAACCGCGGTCGGCTCGGCCATGAGCTGTGAGTTCCCAAGCTGTAATGGGACACGAAGATAGTTGCCAGACATTGTCCACCGTGTATCGACTACTAGTATCACATTTCTATCTTTAATTTACCATGGTGCCCTGTTTCATCTGATCGTGTCTACAATGAAATTAGACACAAGACCATCCGAAAAAGTATTTCTGTACACCATTTTCTTTCCTTTTTATTGGTGCTGAAACTAGCATTAATGCTGCAAACGAGCACTCAACCTAGCATTAGCAACCAAAATAACTAGCATTGCCAAAAGCATTTTTGCCCAAAAAAACTAGCATTAGCCGCTGAGGCCTACCCCCCCCCCCCCCCCCACTTCAGAGTTGCAGTTTTACTGTCCGACCAAAGCCGGGTCCACACTGGACCGATTTTTCGGCCGATTCTGGAATCGTACTATAGATTCTCAAGATCGGCGCAAAAATTGCCTGGTATGGACTGTGCATGCTCGCGAGATCTGGAAACCAGAGTTAGGGGTAAGCAGATTATGCTCGGAAAATGACCAGATTATGCTCCAGCGGATGCTCGCAGGATGCCCGAGAAAACAGGCAACTATGCTTTATATGCTTCACCAAAAGACAAAAAGAACCGATAATCGTCATGAAAAAAGGACTCAGACTATTGTCATGATGTGGAGTGGGAGCTTTGTGGAAGTACAAGGCAATAATAGGCAAGAGGAATACCAAATTCACAAGCAAACGCTGAACTTTTGGGTGATATCCTATAGTTTTTTTAAACACAATAACTCAAAGCCTCTTGTACGGGCAAACAGAAATAAAAACAATCAATGATGAGATCGAGCGCACGCGGTGATGATCACGTACAATGACACTTGACAGATATAGTAAAATTAATAATGTAAGCCTCAAGCTGAGATTCTTGCCTCAGCAACAACAAGCGCTGCCGAGTCTGAAGCCATTGCTGGTAAGAAGGCCGAGATATCCATGGCTGCTAATACAATATATTATTCCAAAAATCTACAAGAAGCGCTATGTATGGTAGCCCTTTCCCAAAGGTGCTCCCCCGTTTTTTCGCCCTTTTCGGAAAAGCCCGTTTCTTTCGCCCTTTATTGCGTTTTTTGGTGAATATCGCCCTTTTTGAGCTTTTTTGAGCTGAAAAAGTGCTAAAATCGGTTTGCTCATGCATGTGATCACAGTTTCCGATCCTGAGTGCTTGATATGGGCCTTGGCACGCCGCTTTTATTTGGAGGGAGGGGGGGGGGGGGCAACAAGTAGGTGAAGCTTGTACCCGGTGTACACAATGCTGTAAAAAGTGGGTTTTTTGAACTTTACTTCCTGTTTTGCCTTTCGTGGACCCATAAATGGAAGAGTGCGTATTCATTTCGCAGCTTGGGTTCATATCTGAACATGTATCATGGCTGTGCTTCACTGAAAAAAGAGCACTTTTTGCCTGTTTTCACTGAAAAAAGAGCACTTTTTCAGCATATTTTGAGGGACGCGAAAAGCACTAATTGCGAATTAAAAGAGCACCTTTGGGAAAAGGGCTAATGTATGGTCCTTGAATAGCAGGTGTGTATATAACAGCCTCATTGGGCATCTGCCCTTGTTTTTCGGATGTAATTTTATGCTCCTTCTCAAAAAGGACCTGATTATGCCAAAAACTATGCCGGCATAATCCGCTTATCCCTAACCAGAGTACGGCAGAAGATCGACCTCCTACCTGGTCCCCGCTACAAGGCTTTCCGGCCGATGATCCGATACCGACTGCCACATGAAATTGGCCTACTGGGGACATACACACACTCACACAAATTTGTGGGGAAGGCGTGCGACAACACCGTCCACACTGGGCAATTTTCGCGCCGATCTTGAGGATTTCTCGTACGACTCCAGTATCGACCGAAAAATCGACCTAGTGTAGCGACCTGACTCGCTACTGTCATTACGTCATTTCTATATATTTCGTCTAGGGCCCGACGTAAAACCCTATACTAGCGTGGACCAGGTATTATTATTATTATTATTATTTAAAATCTTGTAGGACGCATCACGCAGCTTCATAATTAAAAAATTGGTTGTGAGCAACACTGGCTCACACTCAAATCACTGCTTTTCACCAGAAAAATATTTTATTTTCATTAAAGTTACCCATGACATAACGAGGATAAAAGTTAATCACTGCAAAAACACAGCGTCTTCGACAAGATTTCCGTGCTGCCAGACGCGCTGGAACTCTTCTCAACCGTAGGCTGAGAGAAGCTTATTACATCCGCCAGTTCTCATCGAATGCCGCAAACGCACATGCTCAGTGGAAAGTACTGAACCGCCTTCTAGGTCGCCATAAGCTCCCAGCTACTCTTCCCGTCGACCCGTCTGCCCTGACCACGGTATTTGAAGCGCAGGTCACCAGCCCAGACTCCTCTACTTCAGCTGCCAGACGACCCGCTGGGCCACCAATCCAGCGAGCCTTCATATCCTTCAAGCCAGTCTCTGTAAACACCATCTCCAGTATGCTCAGACGTTTGAAAACGTGGAAGGCTACCGGCTCCGATGGGCTACCACCAGTCATCCTGAAGAATAACCATGAGTACATTGCTAGTTCCCTCACTACTATCGTCAACGAGTCTCTTCAAAAAGGACAATTCCCCACGGGCTTCAAAGCAGCAGACATCTGTCCAGTGTTCAAGAAAGGAGATCGCACCCAGGCAGCCAATTACCGTCCGATATCCCTATTGCTTGTGGCATCGAAGATATTGGAGCGCGTTGTCTACGAACAGCTGCAGACATATATACAATCTGAGCCTGACCTTTTACCGCCTCAACAATTTGCATACCGGCGTTCCCACTCCTGCGAGGATGCTCTCACCTTCTGTGTCGACCGTTGGCACAGGTGTCTAGATAAAGGCCAGTGCGTAGCAGCTTCTTTCCTTGATCTAAGTAAAGCGTTTGACTGTGTAGATCACACACTTCTAGTCTCTGAACTATTTGATTGTGGCCTTGGAGACACAGTTCTCTCCTGGTTTCAGAGCTACCTAGCAGACCGAACCCAGAGAGTCGTAACTCCTCAGTCTTCCCCAGGGGAGCCATACCACTGCACCCGTGGCATCCCACAAGGGTCCGTCCTGGGACCACTATTATTCACGATTTACACCCGCTCCCTTCCCTGCCATGTTAAGCAGTCGACCACGTTGCTGTATGCAGATGACATTACACTATACGCTGCCAATTCATGTGCAGAGCAAGCCGTAGTTACCTTGGAAAGATACATTGCTCACGTTGCCTATTATCTCTCTGAGCGTGGTCTCAAACTCAATACCGCAAAGACTCAGTACATGCATATCCGTACTCCGACCACTCCGGCTAGCCGCCCCCTAATGCTCAACGGTATTAGTATTTCCTCAGCTTTGAGCGTAAAATACCTTGGCTTGGTCATTGTTGAACATCTATCCTTTAAACCACAAGTTGCAGCCCTCCGGAGGAAAGTTGGCGCCAAGCTAAGTACCATGTACAGAACACGTCGCCTCCTGACCACCCGAGCGAAACGTACATTCTACTTATCCTTCATACAATCCACTCTTGAGTATGCGAGTAATGCATATGTACACTGTCTTCGCACCACAGAATATGATAACCTGATCAAGATCAGTAAACGTGCATTACGGATAGTGTTTGGTTACCCCTCGTCCTCCCATTCAGCCCCAATTCTCGCACGCTTCTCTTTAATGCCAATTTCAGTCCGCTTCAGTTTAAAATTGTACTCAGTTGTTTTCCGTTGCGTCCTAGGCCAGACCAATGTCCTTCTTCGAGACCTCTTTGTACTTCGCTCTTCAGCAGCTAACACTTTGCAATGTCGGACCCGCCTTCACTCCTCCAATGGTCTTGTTTTACCCCGAGTTTATTCACGCTACGGTCTGTTTTCTCTCTCTTATTTGGCTGCAGACAGATGGAATAGTGCTCCATCTGATATCCGCACTGCTGCATCGCCATCCCTATTTCGCCATGCATTACTTTCATTCTTAGGGTACCCCGTAAGAAGACCTTGAGTCTGTGGGGATTGCCCTATCAAAATATGAATAAATAATAATAATAATAATAATAATAATAATAATAATAATAATAATAATAATAATAATAATAATAATAATAATAATAATAATAATAATAATAATAATAATAATAATAATAATAATAATAATAATAATAATAATAATAATACCTCGACCGGCGGTCCTTCGTTGATGCCCTATGCATTCGGTATGGCCTCACCATCCACGGTTCACCTACCGAGTGTCCATGCGGCCGGCCGTTCACCATCGACCACGCAATGATCTGCAAGTTGGGCGGCTATCCCATCCACCGGCACAACCATGTCCGCAACTACCTGGGCCAACTTCTTTCTCAAGTGTCTGAGGATGTGCAGCTGGAGCCACCGCTGCAACCTCTACCGACGGTCCGCACGTTTGACCATGGTCCTGCCCTGCTCACTGCGGACGACGCCAGACCAGACATCAAGGCCAGGGGGTTTTGGTCGGTACAGACTGATGCATTTTTTGATGTAAGGGTGTTCTATCCCAACGCACAGTCGTACCGATCTCGCCCGCTGGCTGAGGTGTTCCAATGGCACGAGCGTCAGAAGCAGTCGGCATACGGTGCCCGGATCCGGGAAGTTGAGCACGCGTCGTTCACCCCGATCGTCCTGTCTTCTGCTGGTGCCCTGGCGAAGGAGGCCACCCGGTTCCTGAAGCTGCTCGGAACGAAGCTCTCCACCAAGCTCTCGCAGCCTTATCCCCTCGTGATAGGAAAGCTGCGGACGGACCTGGCTTTCAGCCTTGTCCGCGACTCCGTCCTGATGGTTCGTGGGAGTCGCCGTGCATTCCGTGCACCTGGTCTGGCGGCGGATGTGGATGCTGTTTCTGTGGAGGCCCGCATTCCCGCCACTACGTGACGCTAAGTCCTCCTGGGGTTTGCCGCTCTCCGGTCCTCTTTCATCCCGTTCTCCCCTCTTTTTTGGGGATTCTTTGTACTTCGTCTTTCTTGTTTTTCTTGTTCCTTTGTTTTTTGTAGGACAGATTTTTGGTGTACTGATTTCGGTTGTTGTTGTGTCTGACTCTATTCCCAATATCTAATTCTGTGGTTGGTTTTCCAACTCATTGGGTTGTAGTTTCCATCATGAGTTTGATTCCATCGTGAGTTTGATTCCATCGTGAGTTTTGATTCTACATGTATTTGCTATTTTTCGTTCCATTTTTGAGCTCATATTTTATTTTCCTGATTTCTTCTCCAGTGTATGTTGTATTGCATTTTAATACATTGTGTTAATTTTTGCCCGTAAAAGAGGCTTGCACTCCATTAAAAAAAAAAAAAATAATAATAATAATAATAATAATTATTTCAACGTTTCGGTCATGAAATAACCATCATCAGAAATGAAGTGGGCACACCGGTTAGGATGGGTTAATAAATGAGGAGCGCTGCGAACTGATAACAAATCACACCTGCATGCACTATTACGAGAGAGAGAACAAAAGGACAAAACATCTCCAAAAAAAACCTGGTATAGAAATAACGCAATACGCGACAACTCTAAATATGGCACAGGTACAGGCAACAAAAAGAATGTACATGTGCACTTGGTGCATGCAGACATGTACATGTACATGTAAATGCAGGCGCTAGCAACAACAGTAGTAGTAGTAACAGTGCACTAGTGCAAGGGGTGCAAGGGGTGCAAAACCACCACTATCCAGGAAAAGCGAGTATCAGGGCCAGAAATATGTACAAGGCAGTACTTCACCAGAGACTTCACAGGAGGTCCCACCCTGCGTTATTGTTTATGCTGGGGCTCGTGTCGCGAATTTGTATTGCTTCCCGTATTCTCCTCCTGGCCCGATCCGACTCAGTGGCAAGGACGCGAACCTCTGTGAATGCCGACTCGCCAAGCGGCAGTACCTCGCCGCCATGGTGAAGTCGGTAGTGCTCGCCCAGGGCTTTTCCAGATGTCTTGTTGCGTGAGTTATCATTGTGTTCTTTTGTTCGCGTTGCTACACTACGGCCAGTCTCTCCAACATACGTCTCCGAGCATTTGCAGGTCAGACGATAAACCACGTTGCGTCTTGTGCATTCTACCTCGCTCGATTGGCATGCAACGCAGGCGGCTTTAGGCCTTCCTCGTCGCCTTGGGGCAGCGGGATCCACCCACTTACGGCAGCAAGGTCCAGTGAGGCTGGACTTAGTGACGCTGTTGGAAAGCCTTGCATTTTTGTAGATTATCTGCACATTTAGGTTGTATTTTGTTTAGAAGACGGTGGACCCTGTAGTGGATGGCATCCGTTTTGAATGGTAACTTCAACGTGGATCGATAATCTTTCTTTTGTTTAGCAGGTCGTCTGGCTCGTTCATGAGCAGTCGCGATAACTTTGTCAGGAAAGTTGTTGAATTTTAATGTGTCAATAACCTTTTGCGCACTTCGCTGGCGGGCTGCAGAATCAGAGGAAAGGGCCTTTCGGGCCGCGCGGAGGAATTCCGAAGACGCGATGGCGAGTTTTTGCTGTTGCGGAACGCACGAGTTGAAGTCTGAGACGAGGCCACTGTGGCAAGCTTTGCGGAACAGCTCGAATGATATTGCGCCCTCGGAGGAGACATGAATAGTCGTGTCCATAAAGTCAACCGACCCAGTTTCCTCCGAAGATTGATACGTGAACTTGATGCTCGCATTGGCGGTATTGAGGAATGCAATCAGCTGGCGGAGAAGCGCGGCCCCCAGTGTCCACAGCATAATGATGTCATCAATATAACGCTTGTAGAGTACGGGAGCGCCAGGCGAGTTGACAAACAGCGAGGTTTCGAGGTCATGCATGAAGGTAATCGCAAACGGGGGCGCTAGGTTGTTACCTATGGCGATGCCTTCCCTCTGGTGGTAGACCTCACCAAATCTGAAATAATTGGATCTTAGAAGGAAGGTTAACAGCTCTTCGATCTGCTCCACGCTTAAACCAAATGTGTCAACAGACGCAAACGCGCGCACCCTCCTTCAACGCGTCTGTGGTGGTACACTAGAGAAGGACCTGTACCAAGCCATACTCCCTGGCGACAACAGGTTTCCGGAGATGTATGGCCTGCCTAAAGACCACAAAGCCACGGTACCGCTTCGGCCAGTTGTGTCAGCTGTTGATAGCCCGGTGACCAATATTTCTATTGTACTGGAGCGCATACTCAACCAATGCCTGAGATATGTCTCAGCACATCTGAAAAACACGCTGGAAGCACTGGAGGATATCCGGCAAGTGTATCCCGACCTACAAGCCCCAGCGGGGACCATCATCGTTACAATGGACGTGGTCGCTCTTTACCCAAGTATCGATATCGCTGAAGGGGTGGAGGCGGTTGCTAGAGTCCTGCAGCAGCACATCGAGTCTGTTGACACATTTGGTTTAAGCGTGGAGCAGATCGAAGAGCTGTTAACCTTCCTTCTAAGATCCAATTATTTCAGATTTGGTGAGAAGGTCTACCACCAGAGGGAAGGCATCGCCATGGGTAACAACCTAGCGCCCCCGTTTGCGATTATCTTCATGCATGACCTCGAAACCTCGCTGTTTGTCAACTCGCCTGGTGCTCCCGTACTCTACAAGCGTTATATTGATGACATCATTATGCTGTGGACACTGGGGGCCGCGCTTCTCCGCCAGCTGATTGCATTCTTCAATACCGCCAATGCGAGCATCAAGTTCACGTATCAATCTTCGGAGGAAACTGGGTCGGTTGACTTTATGGACACGACTATTCATGTCTCCTCCGAGGGCGCAATATCATTCGAGCTGTTCCGCAAAGCTTGCCACAGTGGCCTCGTCTCAGACTTCAACTCGTGCGTTCCGCAACAGCAAAAACTCGCCATCGCGTCTTCGGAATTCCTCCGCGCGGCCCGAAAGGGGGGGCCTTTACCCTGATCCTGCAGCCCGCCAGCGAAGTGAGCAAAAGGTTATTGACACATTAAAATTCAACAACTTTCCTGACAAAGTTATCGCGACTGCTCATGAACGAGCCAGACGACCTGCTAAACAAAAGAAAGACTATCGACCCACGTTGAAGTTACCATTCAAAACGGATGCCATCCACTACAGGGTCCACCGTCTTCTAAACAAATACAACCTAAATGTGCAGATAATCTACAAAAATGCAAGGCTTTCCAACAGCGTCACTAAGTCCAGCCTCACTGGACCTTGCTGCCGTAAGTGGGTGGATCCCGCTGCCCCAAGGCGACGAGGAAGGCCTAAAGCCGCCTGCGTTGCATGCCAATCGAGCGAGGTAGAATGCACAAGACGCAACGTGGTTTATCGTCTGACCTGCAAATGCTCGGAGACGTATGTTGGAGAGACTGGCCGTAGTGTAGCAACGCGAACAAAAGAACACAATGATAACTCACGCAACAAGACATCTGGAAAAGCCCTGGGCGAGCACTACCGACTTCACCATGGCGGCGAGGTACTGCCGCTTGGCGAGTCGGCATTCACAGAGGTTCGCGTCCTTGCCACTGAGTCGGATCGGGCCAGGAGGAGAATACGGGAAGCAATACAAATTCGCGACACGAGCCCCAGCATAAACAATAACGCAGGGTGGGACCTCCTGTGAAGTCTCTGGTGAAGTACTGCCTTGTACATATTTCTGGCCCTGATACTCGCTTTCCCTGGATAGTGGTAGTTTTGCACCCCTTGCACCCCTTGAACTAGTGCACTGTTACTACTACTACTGTTGTTGCTAGCGCCTGCATTTACATGTACATGTACATGTCTGCATGCACCAAGTGCACATGTACATTCTGTTTGTTGCCTGTACCTGTGCCATATTTAGAGTTGTCGCGTATTGCGTTATTTCTATACCAGGTTTTTTTTGGAGATGTTTTGTCCTTTTGTTCTCTCTCTCGTAATAGTGCATGCAGGTGTGATTTGTTATCAGTTCGCAGCGCTCCTCATTTATTAACCCATCCTAACCGGTGTGCCCACTTCATTCCTGATGATGGTTATTTCATGACCGAAACGTTGAAATAAAATATTTTTCTGGTGAAAAGCAGTGATTTGAGTGTGAGCCAGTGTTGCTCACAACCAATTTTTTAATTGTTATTATTATTATTATCAAATTTTTGGTAGGGCAATCCCCACAGGCCTAAGGCCTTCTTACAGAGTACCCTAGAAATGAAAGTACTGAATTACGGAATAGGTGCAGTGAAGAGCATAAGCGGACTGCAGCGGGGAGTGCATTCCAACCGTCGGAACCGATGAAAGAAACTGAAAAGAGACCGAAACGAGTTTTAGCTTTTGGTAGAGTGACAGACGAAGATACCTGAGAATTCGATGCGACCTTCGATCGTAGCCTGGTCAGGACTCCTTCTTGACTTGCAGGCCGCAGTAGAACTCTGGTGACAGTACACTGGTGATTGTGGCCGCGGGCCGTCTCGCACCCGTAGGTGATGTTTTCCGGTGGCTGGTCGCGGAACACTGTAACATAGTAACGAATGTTATGGCCGATTTCTACAGTACGCATTTGTTATAAGCCTTCCTCTTCTCAATCTATATGTTATTATTTTGCAGATATATTCCCAGTAAGCCATGAACGGAGACCCCCTCGACTTAGGCCTCGGCCTTTGGGGAATCCATTAATAAAAAAAATATATATATAACACTGCAGCGTTTGAAGTACGAGTGTTGCTCAATGAAATCCAGTCGCGTCACTCAAGTACGCGCCCGGCGTTGCGGAGCCCTAGACCTGCGAACACTGGGCTGCGAAATGATGCAAGGCGCAAACTTGAGCGACGCGACTGGATTTCATAGAGCATCAACGCACATGACATTCTCCCAGTTTCACCCGTCTACCGGAGGTGAGGAAGAGAGTGGCAGACGACGAACCCTCTGGTTGATCCACTGCCAGACAGCGCGGCCGTAAAACAAGTTTGCTGTGCTTTGTGATTCGGGCTGGTACATGGTGCGATGCTACCGAGAATCACACTAAAGCACGCCTTCAGCTTCAGCTTCGGTCTCGGTGGTGCGCCGTGGAACTGGTAGGCCGTTGTTTGTTTTGTAGGCAGGATTCTTTGTTCGCTGTTCTTCTTGTAGGGCGTTTATCTCTCCTTCCCGCACGAATGGCTGGCCGTTGGTCAGTATAATCTAGGCTGTAATGTGTCCCTGGGTCTGGGAGAGTTTGGATTGTAGCGGACTGTGCCATGTGAAAGATAAAACATCCGCAAGTAGCGTGATCAGTTTGCGATCCAGCATTTTGTGGGTTCTCCTTGCCAGCGACTGTCCGAACTTCTCACTAGTTAGAAACGTGGATAGTCCATTTCCCGAACATGCCTGCCCGACCGCATGGGGGGGGGGGGATTGGCATTCGAACTGGATAGATCGATGGTCCTCCTGACACCATGACTGGACAGTCCGCGATTTGACATCGCTACAGCGTCACTACTCCAGTATTAAAGCTTGTGTTTTGAAAAGAAAATCGGTGGTGGCGATTGCGCTCCGTCTTTGTCGTATCGTGTCCTACAGCACGAACCTGTTGTTTACAATGATGGGTTAGAGAAGAAAGCAGCTTGTTTCTTCGGAAAGTCACGATGCCATTCGAATACCATTACTGTAGCCGTGATGGTAGTCTCTTGTCACTGCGCAGTCCACCTCCTCAGCTCTAGCTATTCTGAGCCGTTCAGAAGGACAACGCAAGGATGATGTAGCGTGTGGAGAACAAACGGCGAGGTGTTCTCGACGGCGTGGCATTGCTAAACTCGCATGACTGGTGTGCATGACTGGTGTGCATGACTGGTGTGCATGACTGGTGTGCATGACCTTGGTGTGCTGAACACCATGGTGCAATGTACCCGTAGCCGAAACTTGTTTGGAGTAGTTCTGTTTCATGCCTTTTCGTGTTGTTGTTCTCTTGCATTTTCGGATAGTGTTCGACCGAACAACTGCGTGGTGTGGTGTTTGGAAATAGGTTACACTATTAGGAAACACAATTCCAATCAGCCTGAAAAAAAAACAAGCTTCAGCCGTCAGGCACTTCATCATAAGCAACATTTTCGAAAATTCCACACGTACTTTCGATGCATTCACATCAGGTAGAACAAAGCCAAACTTTGATTGGGGCGATAAATGCTGTGAGGTAGGGGGGGGGGGGCTCTGTTCTGACGATGATGAAGGAAGGGAGCCGTTGCGGTTCACTCACAATACACGCACAGAAGTCCACTCGACTGCAATCTTAGTGCAATTTCTGACACAAATTCAACTCCATGAGTACGAAGAAGCTCAGCGGATCTCCACAAGAACTTTCGCCCATCACCGGCAATGGAGTATGGGCTGTATGATACGACCAGCGGCTAACATGGGAAGTGGCTTCATTTTCCACAAATCTCGTTTCATTCACAACCATTTGACTGCAATTTCAGTGCAATTTCTGCCACAAATTCAACTCCGGGAGTACGAGGAAGCTCAGGGGATCTCCACAAGAACTTTCGCCCATCACCTGCAATGGAATATGGGCTGTATGATACGACCAGCGGCTAACATGGGAAGTGGCTTCATTTTCCACAAATCTCGTTTCATTCACAGCCATTTGACTGTGCAATTTCTGCCCCAAATTCAACTCCACGAGTACGAGGAAGTCAGCGGATCTCAACAAGAACTTTCGCCCTTCACCTGGGTGCAGTGGAATATTATATGGGCTGTATGATACGACCAGCGGCTTACACGGGAAGTGGCGTCATTTTCCACAAATCTCGTTTCGTTCACCCCAACTCAAATAAAATTGAAGTACAGTGTACAATTAGGGATTTATCTTGCATTTCCATTGCCTCAGAATAAAACTTCGATAAATGAGAGAGAATGAGTGAGGCAGCTGGAAGAATTGAGGATGAAAAAAGAGACCAGAAGACTCGACGAAGCAATCGTCTCCCTGCTCTAAGAGAAATCAAGATTTTTTTAGCATTTTGGGTAAATTTCCAAAAATAAACATTTCCATTTGAGTGATTTTTGACCCTTCAAAAAACGCATAATCCGGACAGGGTTAGTCCGCACGCGCACCGCCCCGGCTAGCGGCTGCCTCTTCAGGGGAGTTCCCTTGCGATGGCCTGATCTGGCTGAGTGGGCCAAATGACTTTCGATCCTGTCCCAAGTCACGTTCCCAGAATCCCAACCCGACCTCACAAGACACAACCTGTTTTTCGATTTTGACAGCATGTTACAACTTGGCGAGGACGCGTAGTGCTCCTGACTACAACCATAACCCGGTTGGCAGAGTCCCGGTCTTGCGACCATTTGAACCGTATTGGGAAAACCCAGGTTCGGGACCCTCGTTACTCTACGGGTTGGTAGGATTTTTTATAATTTTCGTTTTTTGTGTTGTAGAAGTCGTCGTGTTGCCGCCTCTGCCAACCGGGTTATGATTGTAGTCAGGAGCACTACGCGTCCTCGCCTTGTAACATGCTGTCAAAATCGAAAAACATGTTAAAGGGGAAGTATACCCTAAAATCAAATTTTCACCAGTTGTAGTCTTCGGGGTGCTGAGTCGAATGGTCTTGGTCCGAGGAAGTTGAGACGCTCCCTTCCTCCTTTATTCCCAATCGAACTCGCGCACTTCCACCGAAACTGGGTGACTGCGCCCTACTAGATGGGGATTTGTATGCAAAATGTCACTAAAAGCGCCATTGCGTTCTTATAAAAGCACGGATGACCGCGATTGGCCCATATGTTGTAGTCTTTTGGACGCTGAGTCGACTGGTTTTGGTCCGAAAAGGCTGCGATGCAGCGTTCCTCCTTTATTCCCAATCGAACATGGTTGAACAAGCGGTCACGTGCTCCTGGGTGCCCAAATCACCTGGTCACCGCGCCAGCAGGCGACAACTTTCACACCAAGGTTCAACTCGAGTTCAACTCGAGTGACAGGACTGCACCCAAAAAAGGTCAAA